GAAGCAAACCATTATCAATGTGTGTCACGCGATCGTCTGTTTACTCGGCAGCAACAATTGTGTTTGGTCTCCTCATTGTTCTCCATCAGCAGTTCTTTTAGTCGATGCGTCGTCGAGTTTGGAAAGCAACCGTTTCGTGATGAATGTGTGAGTGCTGACCACGTTTTGCTGCAATGAAAGCGCTCTGACCTCCGTTGTCGAATCTGCCATACAATGAAACCACTGGAAGCGGCTCCCGTTTTGGTGGAGGAGGCTTATTCGATAGCGGAAGATAAATGTTTATTGTGTTGTACCTTTTGACTATAGTTTTAAGATGTATTGTTTAGTGAACAAGAATCCTCGGCTCTGTAAAGTTAATTCGGTTAAATAAATTAATAAATAATAAAAAAATCATCGGAATTTAATTCCCACGAAATTTTCCTCGGAATTATCTTGAAATGCTCCTCATGCGGTCAGAACTCTCCTGGAATTCGTTTCCGAGTTCCTTTGAAGTTTTTCTGGAATTATTTTGTAATCCTCCTTTTAGCATACTCCCGAAGTATTCCCATGGAATTATGCTCCGGATTCGTTTTCTCCCTGAAATTTCCTGAAATTATCCTCAGAATTTCTTAGAAATTAACTTTGTATGAATTTTCATTAAAAGTTCTGTCGAATCCTAGTTAGGGTTTACTTAGAATTCTTCTCAGAACTACCTTGGTACTCAGGTTTCACATATAATCTGAATCTATTTTCCTAAAACAGACTTTATTTGTAGCTACAACTCTGTCTCAGACGTCATTTCGATCGAGATTTCGATTACTTTGTTTATTTGATTATTTGGTTCTACATCAACAGACTGGGTTTAGTCCTAATGATGGATTAAGCAATACTAGGAAATACAATATAGTCAAGAAGTAACAAGCTGCAAAGGCCGTGAAGTCCAAGTTATTTTATAATTCTTAAAAAATATATCACAGAATCTTCGACGCAGCGTCTCGCGTGCCAAGTAAAAATCAAATAAGGAAGCAACACGATTAAAAACCCTTTGTAGCCTATTGATAGCACCATACAAACTATAGTTTGTACGACGAAAAGGTATCCTCAGCATTGCGTTGTTACGGAGTGCTCGTGGTTGAACGTTACCGTCGATTTGTTGTAGGACAATCGATTCTGCCCTGTAGAATGTCTGCCACAAACAGGGCCCTTGTCGTATCTCTTCGACTCCACAAAGGATCCAGGTGAATTATCTGGCACCGACTTTCGTAGCTTGGAAGGCGATGAGGATCCCTCCAAGGCAATCGTCGAAGTGCAAACCAGATGGGCCGTCGTTAAATAGACTCTACTTATTGTACACTGTTTTGGTAATTGGGATTCCATTCAGGGTAGCAGTATTCTAACACCGACCGGACGAGGGAGCAGTAAAGCGACTTCAAACAGTAGATGTTCGTGAAACTTTTAGCTATCCTGAAAATGAAGCCGAGCGTTCTGGATGCCTTGTCGATCACGTACGAGATATGCTGGCTGTAAGTGAGTTGACAATCTAGGATGACTCCCAGATCCTTAATGTGATTCACACGATGTACGTCAACGCCTTCTAGGATATAACTGAACGTAATTGGGTGTTTTTTTTCCATAAAAACGTGATTACTGGACATTTTGTTGGATGGACCATGCGGTTCAGTTGACACCAATTAGCAAAAGCGTTGAGTCGGAGTTCGAGAAGGTGTCGGTCAGCGATGGCTCGGATTCGGAGATAGATTTTCATGTCGTCTGCAAACGGCAGTCGTGGACCATCGAGGACGAAATTGACGTCGTTGAAATACATAAGAATTATCAACGGGCCGAGGCGGCTACCTTGCTGAATACCCGAAGTGGCAGGAAACGAAGGAGATCGGCAGTCGTCGATTGCAACTTCCAACTGACCATCAGATAGATAGGAAGCGTACCATCATAGAAGACTGCCGTTTATACCAACAATCAATACGAAACTAACGATTTTAAATTGGCTCACTACTTGACTAGCCTATTGGTCCCAAGCATTCCCATTCTAGTCGAAATTCTAGTACTACGCAATGTTTTGATTCGCTATGAAAGTTTGACAGATAAAATGAGGGGTTAGTGGATTTTCCTAGCTTGAGACCGAAGAGAGTACCAGAGCTGAGCCAAAAAGTTGAGCACGTTTCTTCGGAACCTTCTGGTCTTAGAGTTACCTCTATGTTTATACCGAGCCTATCCAGTTTGGCGATCGCTATAGGATGGTTCAACTTGTCGAAGGCGGCTCATAGGTCAGTGTAGATGACATCTGTTTGCATATCCCACATAAACGCGAACCATAAATTGACCTTACCTAAAATGGTTAAAAATTGTTTATAATCCCTGCTAAACTTTAACTGAAATGGTTATGGAACTTTACATGAACGTTTAATGATAAAGTTTCAACCTTATGTATTATGGTTTTTTGGAACTGGACTTTACAAATAATGGGTTGTTAAGAACCATTACCATTCCAAATTCTTGTTTTCTCCATATATTTTCAGAAAGAGAACTATATAAGAACGTTTTTACTTATGATTTGAGAACATTAATGGTAATGGTTATGGTAGTCAGTAAGGTCCATTAATGGTTTTGTATTATCGCTCAACTTTACGTGGAATATATCGTGAATTGGTAATCAGTAAATTACAGGCAACCTACTCGCGATATATTCCACATAAAGTTGATCGATGTTACAAAACCATTCGTGGACCTTACTGACTACCATAACCATTACCATTAAAGTTCTCAAACCATAAGTTAAAAGGTTCTAATATAGTTCTCTTTCCGAAAATGTATGGAGAAAACAAGAATTTGGAACGGTAATGGTTCTTAACAACCCATTATTTGTAAGGTCCAGTTCCCAAAAACCATAATACATAAGGTTGAAACTTTATCATTAAACGTTCATGTAAAGTTCCATAACCATTTCAGTTAAAGTTTAGCAGGGATTATAAACAATTTTTAACCATTTTAGGTAAGGTCAATTTATGGTTCGCGTTTATGCGGGATGGTCTGTCATACTCTCCGTAATGTACGAGGTGAGACACAATACAATTATTTGTACATCTTCAAACTACGGTTTATTTAAAAATGTCAAATACGCCAAAAATGCAAAATCCAAAACGGCCGAATTTTAGCACAAATGTGAATGATTTCCTATTACAGACAATTACGCAAAGTTTCATGCAAATCGAAGAAGGTCGAGTCTGATCGATTCGACATTTGACGTGGAACTGCTCTATAGTTAACTTGCTTTTGAAAGTCTTGCCCGAGCATACCCTATCATGTTAGTCCCCTGTAAGCATCGATAACCGAACTGCATACTATAGTTGTTCACCCCTATTCTGTATTCCGTTCGAAACGGATTTCCCAATTGTATGGGAACGGAGTACAGAATAGGGGTGGTTAACTACAATTCGATTCATATTGTCAAACTTCGTTCCATTTGATTTTACCTTACAAATCATCTAAATAAATAATAGAAAATAAATTTGGAGGAACTCTCAAACTGATTATCATATCATATATCCGAAGCATCAAAAGAATTTTGTTTAAATATTATCGATGTAGGTTTAAGTGGTGACTCTGGGCCGATGGATGATCTAACTTGATTAGAAAAGCCTTAAAAAAAAGTTACGTAGCTCCCCAAGAATCGCCCTGGAACTTCCAAGAAACCTACTGGAAAATTTCCCTTTTCTAAACTTCGGCATACTCTACTTCACAGCCAGCTTTAATTTAACTCATATAACTCGTGAGCAAAGCATTGGGGCCTCATTTAGCTCATTTGGTAAAGGTGCAGCTACAAAGCAAGACCATGCTGAAGGTGGCTGGATTCGATTCCCGGTCCGAACCAGGAATTTTCCGCATTGGAAAATTTCTCGACTTTCTTGGACATAGAGTATGTGTACTTGCCACATAATTCTATACCTACATAGCTGGAATAAGGGTCTATCTGCTTTGATCGATTCTCTTCATCAACTCTCTCTTTCGTTAATAACTCAGCTGCAACAACATTCCCTGTTTTATTTGACGATTTGGACGATAGATAAACACCTTCTTTATCATGCTATGTGGTAAAAATAGCACGAGCACTGTTTGTATAGCCGTGGTTATCAAAAGAGGTCCTTTTCCCAGCTCTGTATAGAATTATACTAATGCAAAAATGGTACAGACATCGAAAGCTCTCAATTAATAAATGTGGAAGTGCATCTAGAACACTAAGTTAAAAGCACGCAATAAACTAATATGCGAAGAAGAAGAAGCTAATCATTTTATGCATAAATATTGGATGCTTGTCATCATTGTCCTGTGGGTCCCGTATGACGAAGAAGTGATCTACCCTACCCTTCCCCTACCAGCATTCCTCCAAAGCCAACATTCCAACCGAGCTGCCCTTAACCTGAGAACTCAACATGTCACGAACGCCATAACCCATCACCCAATTGCCATCAAATTATGGAAATTAAAAGCTTCCTGCTTCTTTGTTCAACCCAAACCACACTCGCCGTTCCCTTGTTGCTGCAGCCGAAATGGTGAAGCAGATTTCTATTAAACATTAGGCCTATTAGGAATGCATGGCTCTTTCTCTGTCGGGTGGTAAAGCTGTTGACCTGACCTGTGTACTATACACGTACATATCCCTACCAATGATTCATTCTGTTACAGCCTGATGGATGGCGATGATTGGGGCCGGCCGATAAAACGAGAACGACAAAACATTGACCGCAGGTGGTGGCACACGAAAATATTCAAACCACCACAACGGCCATCCCTCGCGTGGAATGGTATGTTTAAGGTATGAAGTGGTGCAGCAGCAACTGAGGAAAGCGAAACCGATAAGGCCAAACAATCGCGCTTTGCTGGTGGTGAGATTACCCTGCTGTTCCAACAGCGCATGATGTAAGGAATTATTTTTCGGATGTCCTTGAACCTTTCTTCGGTGGAGTTGAAAAAGGAGAAGCTTTTCGTCGTTATAGAATATTTTAATTTTCGGTCTTCACAGCACCGGCTAGACAGTGTTGAGCTGGGAAAATGCTAATGTGCGATAAGAATTTTGCTATTCAAAGTGTGAAACACGCGCTTCTAATTATGACACAGGACACAACGTCCAAGGTCAAAAAGGGACTGAACTTAGGGCTTTCTTTTCTTTGAATTCTGAGAAGGAAATTGATCATCGGATGACTGTTGCATATTTTTGTCATTAACATTTCAAAGGGACGAAACTGCTGCTGTAAACAATGGCTTAGCCGTCGATTATTCACGAATAAAAGCTCACTTATGCAAACTAACAACACCATCAAGTAGAGGACTGGCATGGTTAGTTTGGAGCAAGCTTTTATTTGCGAGAAATCGACGGTTGAAGTCAATGCTTACAAAAGCAGTGTCACCCAAATAAAATGTTGGCATCGATTTGATAAGCATTTTATGCAATTATTTAAAATTAAAAAAAGTGGTAAAGCAGTGTCGTCACTTACTTGGCCTTGCCGTGACTTAGTTGTTGGAGTTACTGGTGGAGGTGCTGTCCAATGTCGTCTCCAACTTGAATATGTTGGTCGGTTCCTCCCGGAGAGCTCTCTTCTGAAGCGCCTTCAAATCTTCCTCGCTGAACTGTTGCAAATATTCCGTCTCGAGAGGATGCATTTCCACTGCCGGAATGATCAGCGAATGCAGTGGGGGTCCCAGATCGGTTTTCCGCATATCTTTCAACGAGCAAGCCTTGATCTGCTGAGTTTCATGACCGACTCGAGCCAGTCCAATTACAACGGTTCGGTCGTTGAAGATGTGACTTCTTAAATCGTGACCGCATTCCTTGCGCTTGTGAAGCAAGCGGAACAACTGATCAGCCGCTTCGCTACAGGTCATGAAGCGCGGCGGTTGGTACTCACGTTTCTTCTTGCACAGCGATTCCAGAGTCGGTTCCTTCACCCGGATGTCCAACAGACAGAGCGTATGCAGGCCGTGTTCGATGTTGGCGATTATTTTATCGTAGAAACTGTCCGGTTCCCAGTTTTCGGTCCAATAAGGTATGGACACTGTTTCTCCAAAGTGATACAGTTGCAATCCGCAACATCCCACGGCATTCATTATGGAAGCGTTGTGTATCACCTGGAACGGGATTTTCTTCTCTTTGGCTCGTAGCAACAGATCGGTATGGGTGGTGGCACCGAAGGGGTCCCCTACCACCAGGAAGGCTATCTCCACCGAATCGGCATTCGCTAGGATATCATCCGCACCCTGTTCGACCAATTCGCGATCAGCCAGGATCAGTGGTCGACCATAGAATTCCTCCTGAAAGTGAAAACGTTACATGCACAAACATGTTCCATCTTGGCTACAACCATATTGAAAAATCACCTACCAGCTTCTCCTGACCGCAGGTCAGAATCGACGTGTACGATTCCAGATAGACCCGTTCACACCGCTTGACGACCTCCAGCCCCTTGACGGTGATATCCTTGGGATCACCCAAGCCGAGACCAATCACGTAGAACATCTTCCTTCCGGTCGGAGCAATTAACTATTAGTTCACCACACGGCACGCGACAAATCAGCTGATTCGATTGTTTACGACGACGCGTGGCAACACAGGATGACAAACTATGGAAACTTCCACCCCAGAGCGGTCAATTTTTCCGTGAAAACGCGCACGTGCCGGACGTGAATTATTTTTGTGTTTTCGATTCGAAACCGCGCGGTGTTTTGTTTTGATTTCTTTTCTTTTTTTTCGATTCACACTTCGCTTCGCTCTCACACGCGATGACAAACGGGGCGCGTTTAGTAGTGTGTGGATGAACTGGATGAACTTGATGGGTGAACTTAAAAAATTGATGAGGTGCAAGGACGATTTGGTAGAGGTTAAAAGTTTTTTTTACTAATAGCGAATTCGTTTATTATTCAGTTCCAACCTGGATCGGGTATCAAGATTGGGTCTGCTTGTTTTCTGACAAACGTCAGTTTGCTCGTTTGTTTTTAAAACCTAGCTCAGGTTGAGGTTTACACTGACAAAAAGTTCGGTTTCGCACTGGGTTGGAACTGGTGTTAACCCCGATAATAAACGAATTCGCTATAAGGCTCTGAACCATTTGGTGGATTATTTTAACTTTTGGTTAAAATTTGACAGATGGAAAGTTATCGATTAACCCTGCTATCCGAGCATGGTTATTTCTGACAGACAAGAAGTTAAATTTTGACAACCGTGGCTCGAAAACCGGTCGATCGACAGCACGGGGATTTTCGAACATAGAAAATAACTTTCGAAATGTCACTTTTAACCACGTGTTAAATTTAACTCGGCAAATGGTTCACAGCCTAAGTTCGATCCAGTACCATAATAAAATGTGTATGGTTATTTTGCTTAACGACGTGTTTAGGGTATTATACAAACAATTTGTGGAATAGTTCTATCATTAAGGTTATCGTTGGGGTATGGTATTGTTTTATAAGGGTTGTTGTCTGTCTGCAGTTCCACTCCGATCTCAAAAAGTACTCCCTCAACCGTTGCATTCTCATGTCATGACGCTTGACATCTTGGCTCAAACCAGTAAAGTCCTCTCGAATCCATCCCAAACGAATTTCAGTCGCAATCAAGCCCAGATAATCCAACCGAGCCTGCCCATTTCTTAACAATCTCTGGATCTGAATTACGCAAAGAAAACGAACTTATTTGTAGGCGGCTGCTAATAGGATGGATCTCTCTGATTTGGTATTGTGTATATGGAATCCAAGACGAAAGGGCATCAATATTAGAAATAAATATCTGACTTCAGCTATCGGTCAATAATTGACATGATAATTATTATCCACTTTATTTATATACAGTTACAGATATTCTAGCATGTTCGAGACTGAAATCGTCTGTTTTTTTCAATATTGAGTTTGATGTTGAATCTTCTTTCCCAATTGAGGGGGTGAGGGTTACTTCCGTGTCCCGATCAGTTTTTTTTTGTGGAATCCTACCGATTGCTGGAGCTCCCTCTTTCAGAAAAAAAATCAACAAAAACATAAAAAAGGGCATCAAACCATAAAACGAATTTAAACATTCTTGCGAGCATTCTTGGCTTTTGACAGTGCTGCCAGAAAAGATTGAAAAATTGGTCTTCATGGTGGTTAAAGCAACCGGTGGAAACTAATGATTTTTAATTGGCGCACTACTTGACTAGCCTACACTCAAAAAATTTATCACATATCTAATGGATGAAATCCATGTGAATTTCACATAGCTTTTCTGTGATCACATAGCAGCAAATCCCACCACAAAATCACATGAATATTATGAGGTCGATGAAATTCATATGAAAAATCACATACAATTAATGTGATTGCATAAAGGTTATGTGTAATTCAGATGAATTCCATTAATTTTGATTATGGATGAAAATCATGTGCGTTTCCAATGGAAGGTACATGCAAACTTTTTTCGGTGTATTGGTCCCAAGCAAATCGATTAACGTACACTCAGAAAAAATTTCACTTAGATGTTACATGAAAACATACATAGATTTTTTCCATCTAGTTTTTCACGTAAATTTTACGTTTTTCATATGTAGATTGGTTTGAAAGTTCTAATTTAAATCCACATACAACTCTAATAGCAACAATCAATACGAAACTAACGATTTTAAATTGGCTCACCACTTTAGTAGCCTATTGGTCCCAAGCAAACGATTAACGTACCCTATTCTAGTTGAAATTCTATTACTACACTATGTTTGTTTTGATTCGCTATGAAAGTTTGACAGATAACATCAGGGGTGTGTGGATTCATGCAGAACATGCAGGGGTGAGTGAAATAGCTTGGGACTGCTTGGGACCGTTGTTCTGGTACTGAGTGAGTCAAAAATAATAATGATTTTCTTCGGGACCCAGTGGTCTTAGAGTTACCTCTATGCTAATAGGTAGTATAGGCTTTGGAAGTAAATTTCACTGTATTTTCATGTAGCATCTAAGTGAAAATAACTCAAAGTGAAAAGATCTTTGCCCAATCCACTAGAAAACAACATAGATTTTATGGTACTTTCTAAGTAAATTTTATTATGTTTTCACTTAAATTTTAGTAAATTTCTTCGTACCATCATCCATTGTTAGGAATTTTAAAATAGTTTTTCAAGATAATAAAAATTGTATTGTTCAGAAAGCTGATAATATATTCCTAATAAAAAAATTGCCATAAATGAACGATAACCCAAATAATTTAACTATTCCACAAATGTGTTGGATGATACCCAAACACGTCGTTAAGCAAAATAACCATAACAATTTTATTAGGGATGTCTTATGTGTTCCAGCAACTTCCATCCAGCTGCACTTCCTCTGCCAATCTTTCGGGTGAGATCATTCCTCGTCCGTCAATTTCTCGTTCTAAAAACATACCATAAATAAATGGTGTATCATGACAAAAATAAAACATCATACTTCAGAAAATTCAACAAGTCCAATGGATTTGTGAATGCAGCAACAACTCGTCAGCAATGCACCGTTTGGACGCCATGTTAGGTTTTTTTTGTGCCATCACCACTCATAAATTTTCACATTATAAATTCATGTAAAATCTAAGTGAAATTATCTTACATGAAATTCATTTGAAACGTATATATATATATATATATTCATCTAAGTTTCAAAGCGTATTACATTGCTTTTAATACGATTTGTGATAAATTTTATTAACGTTATGTACTTTACAGACAATTCTTAATATCTGAAGGTTATGTGTTTTTTCCAGTGAAATTTATGTGACAAATTTTTTAAGTATACGCCATTCTAGTCAAAATTCTAGTACTACACTATGTTTGTTTTGATTCGCTATAGAAATTTGACAGATAAAATGAGGGGTTCGTTCCTATGTTTCGAGGGGTGCATCGATTAGCTTGGGACCGAAGAGAGTACTAGCAACAATCAATACGAAACTAACGATTTTTAATTGGCTCACTACTTGACTAGCCTATTGGTCCCAATCAAATCGACTAACGTACCCCATTCTAGTATAAATTCCAGTACTACACTATGTTTGTTTTGATACGCTATGAAAGTTTGACAGATAAAATGAGGGGTTCGTGGATTTTCATATGTTTCGAGGGTGCATTGATTAGCTTGGGACCGAAGATAGTACCAGAACTGAGCCAAAAAGTTGAGCTCGTTTTTTCGGAACCTTCTGGTCTTAGAGTTACCTCTATGGTACTAGAGCTGAACCAAAAGGTTGAGCACGTTTCTTCGGGACCTACTGGTCTTACAGTTGGTTATCTGTATATGGTTGAAGGGTGTTTGAGTTAAAGCCTTACACCAACCGGTGAACACTCGTGTTTATTTCAGTTACCATGGAGACGTAATTTGTGATTAGCCCCGGTCCCTTTCAAATTGTATCATTATTTATGAACGGCCTTATATTTGAAATGACGTTTCACATTCATCTAGTGATGTCCGATTTTCATTCGAATAATCGTTTAATCGATTAACGAACCGAAAAGTAAACTATTTATAATCGGTTAGATCATGCCGATATACACAGCAAAAAAAAATGTAATATCGATCAATGTAATTCAAGCTGATGTATGAAATAATGATGTAATAGCAAAAAGCAGATCCAATATTACATCAATGGATGTAATTTTGTTCGCAAAATCGATGTGCATCGTACAACGTTATATTACACAACCGATGGATTGACCTGGTTGCAGCAGTTTGGATGTAATATTCAACAACTTTTTTTTCTGTGTAAGCATTAACATCTCCACAGGATCATCACCGATCGTTTCAAACATGTGCTGTACTCTCATTCGTGGAAAAATGGCAGCACAGCGAACAAAAAATAATCGATTAGTTGTTAATCGAGTAATTAAAAAATGGAACATCTCTGATTTTGGTGTGATTGTTTTGATAAAAATGAGCGCAAAATTTCATCTATTCCGAGGGGGCAGCAAAACCACAAAATTACCTTGAATACGGGGGGTTCTCATTGGATGAAAGGGACCGTGAAAGAAGACACTAAAATAGAAAGTTTTTCTTCCGACAGTTTCATCTTAGTATTCATCTTTGCTTACACACTTAATCTGGCTCGGTAAAATCTCCAACAGCCGATTAAATACCTTGGCATTTACTTTTGCTGATATACCTGCAAAATATATGTTTATTAGCTGATATCGCAGCAAAATGATATTTGTTAGCTGAGTCTCGGCAATTATTTTACCACAGACAAACAGACGTAACTCTTTGAAAAAGTTTTTCTTGAAAACATAGTATCTCAAAACATAGGACCTCAGTAGCGACATCTTTCAGGCTTCTCGCGGAAAACAAGCTTGCTCGCTAACTCGCAAACAATATTGCATAAAAGTTCTATAGAATGTATAGAAACGTCAAAGTGATCCGATGCCAGCGCTGCGGCGAGTAGTTCGCGGAACTGATAATATTCAAATCAACCGTTAAATGCGTGAACGAAGATACACAATGAAGAGTTACGTCTGTTTGTCTGTGATTTTACTGAGCCTCAGCAAACTAAATCGCAGAACTACTCGGCTGTTGGAATATCGGCGAAAAAATTTAAGTGTGTACACTAAAATCACAGACAAACAGACATAACACTCGCAAGTTGTTCATCGAACAAGCATTTAACGGACAATTTAATAGTATCGTAGTTGGTAGTACCGCCACCTGTGGCGCACATAGTCAATTCCCTTGCGTTTGACGTTTACACACTACCGCCATCTGTTCAGCGTACTACCCACCACAGTGAGCTCAACAGATGGCGGTAATGTTTTAGCGACGATGTTTTACAGTGAGAATTATTCAATGTGTTATGTCTGTTTTTCTGTGCTAAAATTATGGACGTCTGTCAATAGTTGTTCCAACCGAACCGTCAAAATGCTTTGCTCGATTGGAACAGATTTTTTTCAGTTTTGTGGTGACAGTCGTCCATACTAAAGAGCCTGAATTTATAAAGAGACGACATCTTATCCATTTGACAGGTCTTCTGCTCGATTGGAATGACTTTTCATATGACTTTGACAGACAATCGATTGTTCCAATTTTGACATGTCGCCTCTTTATAAATTTAGGCTCTTTAGTCCATACTTTAACTAGAGGGCTTTAGTTTTAGTGTATCGAAGAGTGTTTTTGATGTGTTTAACACAAGGAGACTTACCCCCTGAGCAGAATCATTTTTGTCGCATTCTCAACTCAACCGCTTCGTCCCGTTTCTTGTCGTCCAGTTGGTACATGACCTTGGTTGATATTGATAGCGTGAGTCCGTTCCAGCGTTCGTAGATTTCGAATGCCATAAGATGTGTTTCGATGTTGTGTTTGCCGTGCGCATTATCCAGTGAACGGAGGAACTCGGTCACGTTCATGAAGGGATCCTCAGGAAGGGCCAACCAACCTCGCAACCAACAAACAATGTGTGTTGATTAAAGGCTGAATAATCAATTTCATAGATGAAAAAACATATTTTTTCCTGAATAGGCTCTTATTCTGCTTTCAATGTTTGTTGGGCAGTTTGTCCGCTATCAGCTTGTCCAGCTGGGGTGCCCCTGGAACATCGGCTTAGTTGGGATGGTTAGGATCTGGGATAGGATTCCACTGCTTGTTATTCTGTTCCTTCAAAAAAAAACTGTTGAACTGTCAAATTAACCGGGTTGCAAAACATACCCAACATACAAGCAAACAAATTCAATCTGATGACCGACACTCTCGGCACTTCCGGCACAGCTGCAGCACACTGAGAAAAAGTTGGCGCAAAATAAGTGTGTAGAGTGACCACCCTTTGTTGGAGATAACTGCCCTTCATCGTAGATTAACTTACATGATTTTGTAGAAATTCCTAGTATCCTACTTTTATTTGCCCACACACTTAGTTTTTTTTTCTACTGAGCTCGGCTGCGCAAATCTCGGCAAAAATAAGTTTCACTGAGGTCTCAGCAAAAGTGGCATTTGATTGCTGAGTCTAATGCTTAGCTGAATCTCCGCAAACAAATGAAATGTTTGCTGAGATCTCAGTAAAACTTTTTTGCCGAGATTTGCACATCCGAGCTCGGTAGAAGAAAAAAAACTAACAGTGTTGTCTCCCACTATGTTCATTATTTTGATCATATGATTCAGTTCTTTCCTCCAGATTTCTTTACTAGAATTTCTTCCTAATTTTGGTGTTTCCAAATTTAAAATCTAGCACAAACTCAAATCTTTAACCGGTTTACGGATCGGATCTCAAGGATTACACACTTAAAAATTTTCGCCGAGATTCCAACAGCCGAGTAATTCTGCAATTTATTTTGCTGAGATTCATTCAAACAATTGCCAAGATTCAGCTAACAAATAACATTTTGCTGAGATATCAGCTAACAAACAGATATTTTGCAGAGATATCAGGAAAAGTAAATGCAGAGGTAATCGGCTGTTGGAGATTTTACCGAGCTAGATTAATTGTGTATGGGCGACAAGGATACAATACATGGAGAGTACAGACCTAGAAGCTTTAAGTTTTTGGCATACGTTGGAGTTCGAAGCTCCGGCGGAATCGAGCCAAGATCCTCGAAATGGACCGAAAAGCGAAGAGCCTGAATATGTGGGATGCGATCGATATAAGAGCCAAGAGCACTTCCAATGCTATGTGAAAGGCTCCCGAGAAACCTTCGCTAAGAAGTCGGCTTCCAAGCTAACAAAAATCAGGAAGCAGATTGCTAGTCTTCGACTGCAGGAAGACTCATCATTACGTGGTCCTCTGTTGCCATTTGAAGATTCGATTTGGTAGTTTCGCATTGCTGGTTTCACCGTTGAAGAGAGTGACGTCTGGCTGTTCGGTCCTGAGTTTGGCCCTTTCGTGACGGCGTTGACAAAATCTTGATGAAGACTCGACTGCACAGTGAAGAATCCAACAGAATAACAACAGTCGTGTCTGCTTTGATAGATTCTCTTCATCGTCTTTCTCTTTCGTTAATATATCAGCTGCAAAAACATTCCTTTTTGTATTTGAGAGAATCGATCAATGCAGATAGGCATTTTGAAATGTTCATGTAGACATCTAGGATGTTATTAGAATTTTTGATCATCTGCAGATATTAAGAATAATTCCTAAAATTAAAACGAACCCTGAAAATCAAACAATGATTTTATTTGAATGTGTGATCAGTTTAAGGTCTTCGGGATGATCCCTAATTAACCTAGTAAACTCTTTAAAGTATTTATATAGAGCTGGAATGAGGGCGTAACACACGGAGATGAACTAGCCTAACTACGGCTAAAAATCTTCTAAATAAAGAAGAAGAAGAAAGAGAGCGTAACAGCTTTTGTAAACAATGGTGATTTCTCGAAAGTCATAACTGTCCCCGGAAAATCGACATAACCAGCGAGTAAGGGAAGACTTCCCCTACCCGATGGATATGTTGGTTTGTGTAGGCCTGCCTTGAATTCCTAGAAATTAACGAAAAAAGTCATTGTTTACAAAGGCTGTTACGCCTTCAGTATAGCTACTACTCAAATCATATAATTAATTGAACTTTTTTTCATCATAGAGATCTAGAGTAATTTCAGAACATCAAAATCTCATGAAAAATAATATCTGAAGCAGGGCATCATTTGAATTTTTAACCAAATGGAGGTTTCAGAATGCTACATTAAAGAAAGTGGCAGTCTTAAGGATGATTCCTGATCAACTTAAAGTCTTGAGAGAATATCTTATGGACATCATTTAAATTTTTCAATCATACCTTTAGAATATCTCCTGATCTCCCACCTGGAACTTTATGTCCGCCTTGTACATTTTTGTAATGCCTAGTTAAATGCTATTTTTCACGTCGCTATGTTGTATCTCATTAATGTAGGAAATAATTGCTTCAAAAGCAAAAATCTAAAATCAAAAATCAAGACACGATAACTATACACATGCTCTTTACAGTTTAATCTATTTCTAATTAACACTATCAACATTTTCAAAAAATCACTACCTTCAAGGATGGCGTCCAAATTGCGATCATCCAACTGTGACGTTTAACAACAAACTAGCGGCATGAATAATTCATTCATTCCACTTCTGGACGCTCAAGTGGGCTGGTCCCCATATTCTTCCAGCACCAAAAGGTACGTTTCGAGTTTCAGCTCCGTGACAAAGAAAATTTGCACCTAAAATTAAAATATTTTAAACTTTTTCAGCATCTACATGCACCACATATCTCCTCTGTGATATTTTTAAGCATCGCACACCATCGCTTTCCACGCAACGCTCATCCGTAGTCATCTCACGCGTATATGAATTTACACCGTCCAGTGTCCAGTTGACCTACATTCCAGCAATCACCACCACCGTATGGAAGTATGGAGAAACGAAAGTCTGATAGAAAAAAGGTAATTAACACATTTATGGCGCTGGAAAGTAGTAACCGGGATGGATATTCTGATTTTAGCGAGAGTCTCCTACGGAATCAGAGAAATCCGAACAACCGAAAGATTCGGTGGAGCAGGTGGTACAACAAGTAGAAGAACTGAACTGTTTCTTTGATCTGAGAACGAAACGTGGCCAGATATTGTTCTTCACTGTTACCATACTAGCGGCCACATTGACGCAATGTCTTCCAAAGGATGCCCTTGCAAATATTCTTCAAACGAAGGAACAAAGCGGTAATCGAAATGTGGCTCAACCGAATGTGGAATGTAAACCAGAAGTTAAGATTGTTGAAAAGGTAACACCATCAGTAGCAGAGAATCGTCCAAAATATTGGATCTACGGGCGCAATCCGAATGGTGATCACTTGATACACGTGAAGAATGTGCTACAGCGACTGGGGATAGAACAAGTGGATAATGATACGGCAGATTGGGACCTGCTGTGGGCTCACGATTACCCCTTCCGAAAGGTGAACCTGTATCACTTGAAACCCCATCAGTTGGTGAATCATTTCCCAGGATCAGGATACATAACGAATAAGGTGGATTTATCCACAACGGAGATGAAGTATATTCCGAAGGCATTCAAATTGCCAAATGAGGAAGAGAAGTTTAGGAAGTATGCAGAGGAGAATCCAAATAAGCGCTTCGTTCAGAAGAATAACCAACATCGACATATCCAAATCAGAAAGTTGGAAGAAATCGACTTTGGGAGCAACGATACGTTCATCCAAGAGTTCATCGATCATCCTCTCTTGGTAGATGGTTACAAGTTCGATATCGGAGTTTATACGGTTATAACATCGATAGATCCCCTGCGGGTGTACATTTACAAAGGTGACATTCTGTTCCGATACTGTCCAGTCAAATACTATCCATTTGACTCGAACAATCTGGACAAATACATCGTCGGTGATGATTACTTACCAACATGGGAAGTTCCTGCACTGAAGCCGTACTACACTAAGCAAGGGTTTGGAATGAAAGAATCATTCGATGCGTACGTTCGAAGTACCGGGCGTGACCCAACAATCATCTGGGAACAGGTTGAAGATGCCATTCGTTTGGCAATCCTCAAGAAAGAATCTCTACTGGTGGGAATTCTTCCGCGATACGCCAGCAAACGTAACTTCTTCGAAATGATGCGTTTCGACCTTGTAGTAGACGACAAGCTTCGTGTATTCCTCATGGAAGCCAACATGAGTCCGAATCTCTCTTCCTCTCACTTCAAACCGAATCGTTTGCTGTACGAACAGGTGATCTACAACTTCCTACGAATGGTCGGTGTGGGATCGGATCTACGGAGAGATTCCTTCCGAAAACGATCCACCGATGCGGAAGCAATGATCTCTTCCCTCAAGAACATCGTTGTGGAGGCGAATCGATGTGCAGACGGCCCTTGTTCGGAGTCATGCGCCCCCAAGGAATGTGCTTTGTGCATTAGCTGCCTCAGTGGCGGAGATTTGAGAGAACTGTACGCAGCTTATCGGGAACACTTGAACCGTGGTGATATGAAGCGAATTTTCCCAGTGCCAAAGGCTGATCGCCAAATATTTGAGGAGCACGCAGCAGATCTGAGTACAAAAAACCGCTGGATGAGTCACTGGTTTGATGCGAAATGCGAGGTGGACACATCGTACTGTTATTAGAACAAGCATTCCAGAAGAAGAAGAAAGTTTTAACACGAATGTACTTAACTTAGAATCATAGGTTTTAACTTAGTTGTAGGCATCGGGAACCTGTTAAACTTTAGCAATAAATAAACATCAACATATCAAATATACGCCGTATTTTTTTATTCATTCCGTGCTGAGCACCAATGCTATCGACGCCAGGGAGGCAGCTCCCACAACTGGACCCTACCTATCGACTCATCAACTCATGACCCGGGAACCAACGGCTTTACTTCCGTTCCGAAGGAAGACGTGATCAGAGATGTTATGCCTCAGAACATCCCGGCGGCGCCGACTGGGATTGAACCCAGGCCTGCTGGGGTAAGAGGTAATCACGCTTACTACTACACCACCGGCGCCGCCTAAATATACGCAGTTGTTTCAATCGATCCTGCAAGCCACGTGTTGCTGATAGCAACACGTATTGGAGCATGTGTGATTCCAACGGCCGTTACCATAGACAACCACCCGATTGTTTATTTTTTATCGATAAAGATTGTTCTAGAATTAGTTAAGTTAAATTCTGTTTAACTAAAAAAAATGAATGCGAAAGCCACTACAATTAAAGAAGCCCTCAAACGACTGGAGGATCGCACGAAAACTAACCCTTGCGAAGATAAGGAAATCGACCTGTGCTTTCAGTGGCCACCGATTGAGAAAATGGACACAACCTTCTCCACCTTGGTCGCTTGCGAGTAAAACACTATTGCTAGGCTAACTCCTGTTCACTTAACTTAGTCCCTTTAATCTGTTGCAGGAAACTATCGCTTTCAACCAATATGATCGACAAAATCTTCGGCCTGAGTGGAATGAAGAACCTTCGAATTCTATCGCTCGGCAGAAACTACATCAAAGCCATCTCCGGGTTGGAGGGAGTCAGCGACACTCTCGAAGAGCTTTGGCTCAGTTATAATCTTGTTGAGAAGTTGAAGGGGATCAACGTGCTCAAGAAGCTCAAGGTTCTGTACATGAGCAACAACTTGGTCAAGGATTGGGTAGAGTTCAACAGACTGGCCGATTTGCCTATGCTGGAGGATTTGCTGTTTGCCGGAAACCCGTTGGTCGAATCAATGGAGGAGAGCGTTTGGCGTGCGGAAGCTAGCAAACGGTTACTGTCGCTGAAGAAGCTAGACGGAGAAACGGTCATTCGGGAGGAAAATGATAGCCAACAGGGCCCGCAACCAGCTGGTGGTCAGACGGAGAAAATTTAGAGGGCGTGTGCCTTCTTGGGTTTTTCTCAAGATCGTGTAGTATATTGAAATATATGTCACAAAAGCAATACGATGTCTATCTGTCAGATTCCGGAATGCTAGCCGCATTTGTTGTACAATTTCACGAGTTTTACGACATGGTTGAAGTGCATCGTTTTTCAACGTGCCAGCAATTTGGACCCTGCCATTTTTGAGAGATCAGTGAGATCATTCCATATTTTGTGGACAATTTCATCTGAATCATCTTGCATCTTAAATGTCACACAGTTGGTTGGTTATCTTTATTAAAGAGATTTTCAGCCAGATGCTGGTTCATCTCCGGCTATCACACAGTGGTCCTGGCCGTGTTGCGCTTTTGATTGATTGATTGATTTATCTTTATTAATGAGGCTTTCAGCCTGGGACTGGTTCGCCTCCAACGTTGCGCATTTCTAATTTGTAATATACATCGAATAGACAATAAATATGACGGAGGTGGTCTATCTCTTTCCAGGAAGCTTTCAAGAACTGGCTGTGTTGGTGTTAGATTAGATTATATTCCTTTAAATTTTTCGAACCTCTTAACGGAATCCCTTTATGAAGAGCTTCGAGTGGGTTGGTTTTTTTCCTTTAAATTCCGTTATAATTGCTTATTTTTTGACAGATACGCGTATTTCGTCTACTACTTGTAGACTTCATCAGTGCCAAGTACTCAACACCACTGAGTACTTGGCGCTGATGAAGTCTGCAAGTAGTAGACGAAATACGCGTATCTGTCAAAAGATAAGCAATTAGGTATAACAGAATTTAAAGGAAATAGACCAACCCACTCAAAGCTCTTAATAGATTATATTGTAGGGAGGAAATTCTATACTAATATCAACATGAAGCTTTAGTGTGATAATGTCCCAACAAACATTGAATGTTGAATAAGAGCTTATTGAGGCAAAAACAAGCTTCTTCAGCTAAAAAATAGCTTTTTCAACTGTTGATCAACTCAAATTGTTTTTGGGGCATTAGCTAGAGAAATTACTGAAGAGGATAGATTTATAGTTCAGTTAGAGAATGGCAGTGTGAAAATGGAACACAAGTTGAAATTGAGCGAAGGGTCATTGATGAAACAATGCTAATCAAATGCGCACTCCTTTGCCTAGCTCACTTAATGGGTGAGGGTACTTGAGGTATTTCATCAAATCCACAGGTACAATAGTGCGCGTTTGACTTGTCTGCGGCAGGGTATAGTTCTAGCGATGTTCATCACTACCTAAAACCTACCGTTGTCGAAAGAATTTTCAAGCGATGGTCTTATATATTACAATTCTCCTTTACCTAACTATTGTTTGCTTCTCTCATCATGACCAACGTTGTCTTCAGAAATTTCGCTAGCTAATAAATTATCGCACTAAAGCTTCATGCTGAAATTGGTATAGCATTTTGTCCCAACTCTGTAATCGTAAACTTCACGTATAACAAACTGGTGGATGTGCATCGTTTTCGAAACGATATTGCGGAAGCAAAAATAAAACTTACCTTACAAGGAGTTTCGAATATGTTTTCCCACGAAAAGAGCTACTTAATATAAAGCACTTCGTTTATACAGCCGGACGTAGTCAGGCAGTTCTGTTCAGCACGATTTGGAAGTTCTCCGTCACTAGATAATCATCTCCGAAGACCACCACAAGATTGACCTCGAATTCTACAAACAAAACATGGAAACTCGGTTAGTGCTTTACACTCAATCAATCAATCGCAAATCTCACGACCACTCACCAATTTTGAAATTTTTCGTTATCAACGTAGGGCACGTAAACAATCGCGGAAACGTCATGTAGATCGGAATCTGCACCTTCGGACAAACGTTCCCATCGGCAATCTGGATGTTCTGAATCTCCGTGGCATCCCGTGCGTACCCTTCGGCGCATCCGCACGTTTCCACACGGACCAGTTGCATTTCGATCGATTTGATCGGAACCTCCGTGTGATGAATGGTCAAACTCCCGGTGAATGGTTTCGTGACGCATGATTCCGTGGAGTCCAGCACACCGGTGATCAGGAACCGCGGTATGGAGATTCGTTCTTTGGCCGTTTTCTGCAGAGACTCCGGGCTGATGGAAAAGTTGGTTTCAGTTTTCTTCTCCGACGGTAAACCCGGATGGTATTGGATGAAGAACTGTTGTGCCTTGGTGACGCTCTTGGCCAGGAAACTGCGCTTTATTTCCGCTTTTAGAATGTAGGTAACGTTGACGAATACCCCGTGGTAGGTTTCGTACAAGACTTTCGGCTCCTTTGCGCAGATTAGTGGAAGTTCAAAGGGGATTTCCGTGGATCCTGAGGGTAGTTTACCGGACGGGGCCAGGTCTGTGTACTGATTAAGCAGAGTGATCGGTTTGACCGAGTTGTACATGGCCTCGAAGATGCCCACATTTTTGTTACTGATGGTCAGATTGACCTGGGAAACGGGGGAAGAAGTTTATGTTTCATAAATGAAATTGGACACAAGCTTTTGCATACTTACCTGTCCTTCCATGGACAATGTTATCCCATCGTGCTTGGCTTCCGTTGAAGATGATATATGAATAACGCCACTGATCGTTTCCTGTTAAATGTCGATGGCAAAAAATAAAATATGTATGTTAAGTACTTTCATAGTACTAGAATTTAAATAATTTTACTTTAGTTTGAGATCTTGAACGTTTTTAAAAGTTTCAGATTTTTTACGGTGTTACAGAACAATGAGATTTTTTCGGAAGTATACGGTTTGGGCTTGTCATAGAAATAGGTTAACAATAGGTTGGGACGACATTTCGGGAACTTTGAAAAAATGCGAGATCTCCGATTTGGAAATTTTTCGATAAACCGAAAATTAAAGCAATACTCAATATTCCGGATGTTGAGAAATTTTCAAGATTCTGGACACAAGAAAAGTTTTTAAAAATTTTGAGGTTCAAAAAAATATTCGGGCATTGAAAATTTTAGGATCTCGAACTTAAAAACTACATATATCTGGATCGTTCAAAAAACTTAAGATTCTCGAACTATGACTAATTAGTTCCCTCTCAGCCAACTGGTCAGCTTATTGAAAATGATTTTTTTCCAAGAAATATTCAACAAACATTCGAATTGGATATATTAGTTCGAGGCTGATTTAAAGAATCACCCATGTTACTTCTTCCTACGAAAACTCTACCGGGACTCACAGAATTTTAAACATTCAAAACTACATTAGCTTTCGAAACCATTCAGAGGGTTCCGGATCCTGCTATCTTTTTGACGTAGGATTACGTCTTTCGGCAACATATTGGGGGTGCAATTTCAAAAAACCAAAATCGTTCGCGTTACGAAAAGTGGTCAGGCTTTGACCACTTATAACTCAATAGCGGATGGATTTTAATTCCAAACAAACCAATCGATTGGAAATTTTTCTACGAATCTGCTAACTAAACATATTTTTAAATTTTCAATAGGTCACTATTGAAAATTACACAAATTCCCAACTGTTGCAATGGTGATAAAAAAAATTATCATCGATTGCCTACAAAAAGCGCTTTCTCTAACACAGTCGCAGAATATTGATATCGAGAACGCAATCCTACGTCAAATCTACGGTCGTGTCTTGGATACAACCTCTTATTTTTTCAGAATTATTTATTTCTAGAGGTACGCAATAGTATTTAACTCCGACGCAGAAATGAGCTGTACTTAAATTAATCAATTTATTTACTACTTTAAGTACATTAATTAATTTTAAGTGCATTATATTACAGTCTAAAATTCGTAATTAAAGTACATTAATAACATTTTCAGTACTGTTAATTAACTACTCATTACTCTCAATACTACATAGAAATGCATTAATTACCTTACGTACTTTTGCCTCAATTTCAACTACTAATGTTAAGCCTATTGTTTGCTCTGTTAATTCTTGAAAATTTTCTCAACTTCTACGCGAAGTTTCATCAACTGCTTCCAAGTTCCATTATATATTTATTAAAAGTTCTTTCAATTGGGTTCTTTAATTTTGAAAAAAATATATCGTTTTTTATACATCATCCGAAAGAGCTTCGTTTTCTGAGCACAGCGATATTTTTTTTTCGAACCCACACACTTTGATCTCGATTTTTAAATCAAGATTTAAAGCAAAATAACAACTTCACTGTTTGACACTTAACTGATAAACTGACAGCTCGATCCCATACAAAGTGACACCATAGAGGTAACTCTAAGACTAGAAGGTCCCGAAATAACGTGCTCAAATTTTTGGCTCAGCTCTGGTACTCTCTTCGGTCCCAAGCTAATCGATTCACCCCTCGAAACATAGGAAAATCCACCTATCCCTCATTTTATCTGTCAAACTTTCATAGCGAATCAAAACAAACATAGTGTAGTGCTGGAAGTTATACTAGAATGGGGTACGTTAGTCGTTTTGCTTGGGACCAATAGGCTAGTCAAGTAGTGAGCCAATTTAAAATCGTTAGTTTCGTATTGATTGTTGGTGACACCGAGGGGCGCTAATAAGGTGATTTTTACAAATGTAATCGTACTTATTTAAAATAGTTCTAGTGTACCAAAATTGATGAAATTTTGGGTTTGGGTTTCATTTTTAATGGAGATTACGAATACGCATTTACCTCAATACCCTTAGAGAACCCAATTCGACCAAGATCTCAAAACATCCATGACCTTCTCCGAACATCAGGTAAGACTTTGAACCTTTTCTATGAATTTTCGTAAATATCTGGGTGAAACAAAAAAAAAACCCTGTAAAATGTCACAAATTATAAAGTGAAATTTGTTTTCGGAAAAATCAACAGCCTGGTACACTAAAATTGTGTTTATCCTATTTTAATCATGTGATATAATTATACTCGTTTGTATGTCCCAAAACAGAAGACAGCTAAAAAAAATTAAAAAAAACGCAGAGCTATAAGATATTGACATGCTGTTGCAAAACGACCTCTGCAGGGACAAAAGCATTGGTCGTACCGGCTAGAGCATGAATGACTACCACAACAAAACATACGATAACATAGTGCAAGCTTTATTTCCCTCCCATGTTACACCTAACTTCTGAGCTCCTGTTCTTCAGAATCGCCTAGCTAGTTCTTTTTTCTTCTTCTTCAATGCTTCATCTCTTCACTGGTGTACTCACTGCTACCGGAACATCCGCACATCCTCTCGTTCACAGCTCATCACCGTCGATCTTCGGACTGTGCCGACGTGGAGGCATCGTGCATGCTCCACCGCGACCGGCTTCGAGGGCCTGATGACGGTTGGCGTCCACCTCAAAGCGATCGGGTTCAGATCGTCACCCGCTTACTGGCGATGTAGGTCCGCTTTCAGTTCGCACACCTTGCACGACAACGTATCGGCACATACGGTCCAAGCCAAGTTCCTTTGACGGTGCAGCGGCGACCAGGGGGCGACTCAATTTCGGACCGAGTTCACTCAGGGTTGCCGCTGTACCCTGAGCTGGTCAAACTATTATGTCGCTGATTCTTTCTTCGATTCGAGCAGGAAAACAAAAAGCCCTGAGGCAACAACTCGTTAGCCTCCATCTGTCGGCAGTGTACGCAGTGGGCAACTTACTTCGCATTGAAGGCTTTTATCTTTTGTCTTCCGAGGCTGGCCGTATCCAGCCGCTGTGGCCCACTCGATCGACTGTATGTAGGAGCAGATGCTGGAGGAAGGAAAACGTGTCAGCAATGCCATAACAGTCATGAACATGGAAGTGGCTTACCGCTTTTAGTATCGAATCACGACTTTTCTTCTCCGTCCGACTTGCAGCCACAATATATCGAGTCCCGAATCCAGCAGTGGTTCACGTGTCCCAAGTTGCCTCACGTGTCTGATGTGCACGATGAATCCCGCAGACTGATGTACAAGATGGCGTCCGAGGTCACAGCGTGAGCGCTCGTCTGTGAATATAATTCACGATAATAGCGGTAATGTTTCCGTGAGGCGACGTACTCGACTTACCGTTTCTCGGCGGTTCTGATCGATGCCGATGTTGTTGCCACCAGCTGCCTACTTCCCCAAGGCAATCGTGTCGGAATCGAACGTCGCTTCAACCTGCCGACAATGGACTGTCGCTGATACTGCGCGCACCCGTCAAAAGAATCCACACGCGACGACGGCAAATATGGGCAGTGACTGCAAATGACTTTTCGTGCCGTACTCGGCGCTCACAGTCTCCACAAACTGTCTCGATGGCCTCTTCGAAATGCCGCAGTTGCTTTTGGAGCTATTGCGATCGAATCGTGAAAGTTTTCGCGATTTTCACTACCGCGTCGGCGATGGCCGCCCGAATCAGACCACGCTTTTGCACTTTCTGCTGCTTTACTGCTACTTGAGCGACGGGCTTCGTTGCGACGTCATCTGCAGTTGTGTTCGTGTGTTGTTGTCGGAGGTGCTATTATCATAGACGTAACTCTAAGACCACTGGGTCCCGAAGAAAATCATTATTATTTTTGGCTCACTCAGTACCAGAACAACGGTCCCAAGCAGTCCCAAGCTATTTCACTCACCCCTGCATGTTCTGCATGAATCCACACACCCCTGATGTTATCTGTCAAACTTTCATAGCGAATCAAAACAAACATAGTGTAGTAATAGAATTTCAACTAGAATAGGGTACGTTAATCGTTTGCTTGGGACCAATAGGCTACTAAAGTGGTGAGCCAATTTAATATCGTTAGTTTCGTATTGATTGTTGCTATTATTCCATTCGCCCGTGCGGCGATATCCGTCAATTTGACTGGTGACGTTTGCCCATGAAGCATAATTTTAATGTGCACGATCAAGCGAAACTACTCTGATTCTGCTCAAAAAGCTTGCATCAAATAAAACGTAACAATGCATTGTGAAAAATTGCTGTTTTCGGGCGTTCCGCTTGGGACAGGAATTCATCTGGTGTTCCTCCACTTTGCACAGAAAGCATTTATCCTTATTCACAGAATAAAATATATTCCCCTTCAGATTGAAGGAATTAAGCGACGAGGGAATCTCCTTTTCCTCGTCCATGTATACACCTCGCACTTCTGTGTATATGTCGAAGCTCAACTCCACAGGATATTTCTCCCGGATGACATGGCACGCTTCACTTTCCCGTACTTTACCAGCATCAACGTTAGATCACCATCTGGTACTTCTGGTGGCAGATCGTTCCCTTGCACGTTGCCCCCCCTCAAGCGACATTCGTACCAACAATCAATATGAAACTATCGATTTTAAATTGGCTCACAACTTGACTAGCCTATTGGTCCCAAGCAAATCGATTAACGTACCCCATTCTAGACAAAATTCTAGTACTACACAATGTTTGTTTTGATTCGCTATGAAAGTTTGACAGATAAAATGAGGGGTTCGTGGATTTTCCTATGTTTCGAGGGGAGCATCGATTAGCTTGGGACCGAAGAGAGTACCAGAGCTGAGCCAAAAAGTTGAGCACGTTTCTTCGGGACTTACTAGTCTTAGACTTACCTCTATGTTCGTACCTTCACTGCTTTTCCATTAGCATCAGGGTGTAATGCATACTTGATTCAGATTTTAATGTGACGAAGATCGCCTTCTCTTCAACAATGCGATAAGTGGCGATCATACCAACAGGATTCGTGTCCAGTGATTTCACGAAAGTTGCAATCTCGCCAATCGATGGCCTCGTGCTGCCATTTATAGATGAACAACATTTCAAAAGATTCTGTCTGATTTGATCGATTTTCTCTTTTGATAACCACGGCTATGTGGATTTCATGCTATTGCCATTGCCACATAGTTTGATAAAGGAGATCTAAAACATCGAACACAGCAGGAAATGATTTTGCAACTGAGTTATTAACGAAAGAGAAAGTCGATGAAGAATTGATCAATGCAGATAGGATCCTTTGATTTTTTTTATCTAAGTAAACAAACTATCGATAGCGGGTCGACACCAGCGATGCCAGATTTGAAGACATGTCTTCATTTTGCAGACATTTACAATTCTGTGAAGATATTTTTTACTGCAGAAATTTGTGAAGACATTTCATGTTTTGAAGATATACTGCAACTGGTTAAGACTTCCGAAGCATTTTTACATTTTAATCAGACATGTGTCGATTTTTGGTAAAGAATTGAAGATTTCGATTTCACATTTTTAGTTCCTTCTTGAAAATGTCGACTATGAATAATGTCACATAAAAACAGATTCATTTCAGAATAATACTTTATCGACCTGAATATCCATAGGAATTTACTGAAATCTTTGTTTAGCTGGAAATATTTTGAATACATCCTGATCAGACTTTTCCGGACAATTTGCAGCGTAATGACCTGGCTTGTTGCAATTGAAACAGCAATTGTCCTTTGCCTTGCTCGAACCGCCGCCCTTGCAACGCCTCTGTTGTTGGTCACCACTGTAGAACGCTCCTTCATCGTAGCTGCTCTTCGGCCCCTGATGACAATGGCAGCTAAGCACGATTTGGAGATCAACCAAATGGACGCTGTATCCGGCCGCTTTCCTGCAAGGCACTCTAGGTGACGAGGTAATCTGTATGGATCAGCCTGAAGAATTCAGCGTGGGCTGGATCTCGACGAAGGTTTGCAGACTAAAGAAAGCACTGTACGGCTTAAAACAGTCCAGTCGTGTATGGAACCAGCAGTTGGATGATGCCTTTCGATAATGTGAACTTAGAACGTTCAAAAGTGGATGCTTGCCTTTATTACAAGATCGAAGGCAACAAGATGACGCTTTTGACTGTGTACGTTGACGATTTTCTTATATTCACCAACGACAAGAAACTGAAGAAGGCCTTGAAGAAGTTCATGTGCAGTCGATTTGAGATGAAAAATCTCGGTGAAGCGAAGCATTGCTTGGGTCTGCGAATAAGAAGAGATCGAGTCAAAGGTGAGCTGTCACTAGATCAAGAAACTTTTGTCGAAGCGATGCTGGAGAAGTTTCAAATAACGAATTGTCATGCCGTGGCTACGCCGTTCGAACCAAGCCAAAGGTTGGACAAATCAATGTGTTCAAAAATAAAGGAGAAGAAGAAGAGATGAAGACTGTATCCTACAAAGAAGCCATCGGAAGTTTGATGTATTAGTCCCAGGTTACAAGACCCGACATCAGCTACCCAGTGAATACTGTAAGTCAGTACAGTAGCCATCCAGGTTGCAAGCACTGGGAGGCGGTCAAACGAATTTTCCGATATCTGCGAGGGACTGCTGGCTATCGATTACGCTACACGAAGAATGGAAGTCCGGATATAGCTGGCTACACAGATGAAGATTGGGGAGGAGACGTGAACACAACAACAACGGGCCACGTCTTCATAGTGCAATGTGGCGCAATTCCCTGGAACGTGAAACGTCAACCAACGGTTGCATTATCATCGTGCGAGTCTGAGTACATGGCGATGTCCCGGACCATTCAAGAGCAGAGCATGCTGGAGCAGATTTTCGGCAAGCAAGAAATAAATGTCCTGTGCGACAATCAATCTGCGATCTGCGTTGCCAAAAATGGATCGTACAATCCACGAATGAAGCACGTCGATATACGGTATCATTTTGTGCACGATTCGCTGGATAACGGTATTATTGAACTGAAGTACGTGAACACCAAGCAACAAGCATTTTAAATACTTCCTCATCAATCTGCCATCTTTGAGAGAGTACCTAGAATTTTTGATATAGATAGTGAATTTTTGATAGAGATACCTTTTGAATTTTTGAACAGTTAAAGATCTTCAGGTCGTTATCTTGATCACCCTTAAGCCATGAAAAATTATCCAGGCGACTTTATTGAAAAATATGATCAGCTGGAGATCTTTTAAATAATTCAAATGATCACATATGATCTACCTCGTGATCTACCATAAATCTTCGAAGAATATCTGGCGACGTTATTTAAATATTTTGAACAGAATGATATCATAAGATTAATAATTGATTAACCTGGCTTGAAAAAATCTCCAGAAGACTTTTTTGAAGTCTCCGATTAGCTGGAAATCTTTTAAATACTTCATAATCAACCTGCAATCTTGGAAGAATATTTAAAGACGACATTTGAATTTTGAACAGCTGCTACTTAAAAAGTATTGAAAAATATCTAGAGAATTTTATTGATATTTTATTTAAAATCCGTGAACTGTGGAACTTCTCCGAAAGTTCCTGTACTTTAACAAAGTTTCTTAACCCTAAATTCAGTTCCATGAAATCAATCGAAACTGCTTGAACGTCTTTCCAATACATCTCCCTTTCCCAACAGTAACAATTCTAGAGAGAAACCAGAGAAACGCACATCATGGTAAACGTGGCTTAAGCTCAAATGGATCATCAAACAGTTCGAATTTTTGACTATCAAGTTTTTCGTGGTTTGCTTGATCCGAATGAATGTACAGTGATCTCAAAGTTGAGCGTACAGATGTCCTTAAATTTTAGGAAAACAGATGTAAAAGCCCAATTTAAAGAGATGCGTTTCTGAATTTTTGGTTGCTGAATCAATTATCAATTATAGGTAATTTTGCCTCTCCCTCCTTTGAGGCGAGATTTTCTCATTTGTCTGACCCGATCGAACTTTGTCCGCGAACTTTGAGGCGAGATTTCCTATTTGCCTGAACTGTTGTTATCCGTAACTTATAATTACCCTTAAACGAAGAATCATCCTAATGAAGTTTTCGCATTATTCGTAATGGGTTCTTGCTTGTTGCCAATGTGTTATTTCTAAAAATTCCTGAACTGAACTTGACAGCTTGAAAGGAATATTTCTAATGAATCACCCACATCAATGATTACTGTGATTTCTTGAACAAGTAGATCATCACAAAAGGGATGCAAAAGAAGCTTTACGTAAAGAAAACATTCCCCTGTTTTGATGGGTGAGCTCTAATATAATCTTATCTCTCTCAGTTGGTAGAAATAGTTTGCAAGGGTTAAACGGTTAAACCACAGACAAACAGACATAGCACATTGAATATTTCTCACTGTAAAACATCGTCGCTAAAACATTACTGCCATCTGTTGAATACACTGCGGTGGACACTACGCTGAGCAGTGTCGCTGAAGAGATGACGTCAAATGCAAGGGGATTAACTTTGCGCGCCACAGATGGCGGTACTACCAACTACGATACTTTTAAATTATCCTTTAAGGTGATTCCTTGTAGAGTCCACAAATGGCCACCACGTAGGCTATACATGCACTTCCACTTCGAATTTTCAATTACACACATCTCTTAAATGAATGCCCAATTTCACCTGAAATTGCTACTTCATGTATGCTGCAGTGCAGCACACGTGGAGTAACAGTTTCATTGTGCTACGTATCATAGCAGCTGAAATTTGTGCACTTAAAGTCTCGAAGTGGTTACGAGAATAAGGATCTCACAGCGAAACACCTTAAATGCTTGTTCGATGAACAACTTGCGAGTGTTGTCTGTTTTTCTGTGGTTAAACTATGATTCGCGAGAAATCAGTGATTGAAGCCACTGTTACAAAAGCAGTTTCGCCCTAATGAAAAGTTGATATTGTTTCGATGACTACAAACTACTAGGCACGACTATCGAACGGGTGCACTGCGTGAAAGACTTAGGCGTTTTTCTAGACTCAAAGCTGACATACTCACACCATATATCGTATGTCGTCGACAAAGCGTCCAGAACGCTTGGCTTTGTCTTCAAGATTACTAAGAACTTCACGGACATTTACTGCTTGAAATCGCTCTATTGCTCTCTCGTACGATCTACGTTGGAATACTGCTCTGCTGTCTGGAGCCCGAACTACAATAATGGGGCCGAGCGAATTGAATCTGTTCAACGACGTTTTCTTCGCTTCGCGCTCCGTAAGCTGCCTTGGAGATACCCACTTCGTCTTCCAAGCTACGAGAATCGCTGCCAATTGATCAATATCGAGCCCTTACGTATCCGAAGAGATGTTTTCAGAGCCTTAACCGTCGCCGATACTCTGCAAGGAAGAATTGACTGCGAAGCAATTCTGCAACAAGTGAACATTAATGTTCAACCTCGATCACTACGCAACAGTCTTATGCTGAGACTTCCACTTCTTCGAACTAATTATAGCATAGGGAGCGCTATTTACGGCTTGCAGCTAGTGTTCAACCGAGTAGCGTCGATGTTCGATTTCCACTTGACACGGAATATGCTTCGCCGAAGATTCTCTGCCTTTTTTGCTGACCGAAGGCGCTTGATACCCAACAGCTAAGTGTAAAATTTAAGACTTATAAATTTTTAGTAACTTGACAATGCTTTCCAAGTTATTTTCGTTTGTAACTGTAGTAACTGTAGTATATGTATGTCGTCTGTATAATCTGTATTTTTTACAACACATCATTGGGACTATTTCTAGTCTGTTGATGCAACCATAACAAATAAACAAATAAACAAATGACACTTTTCCAACGATTGGCAAAATCCTTCGACCCCTCGGGGTCAAAAGTTCATCCACAGGAAATGAATTTACGAATACGACTGAATACCAGCCTACCGTCAATCAATTTGTACGGATTCCATCCGATTTTAAACCGTATGTTTTCCACTTACCCCTTCGTAGTAGATTTTATTCGCTCGTCTGAGCTTTATCTCCAGGTTGATCGACATCCAGCACAACTATTTAAAGCACATAAATTGTAAATTGTATCAGTTGATTCACGAAAAACTACGCTCTAATCAAACTTGTAATCAGCAGTCGATCGCAGTCGCTTTTTTTTTGTTTTGATTCATTCGAGTGGGTGACAGTAGTAACTCGGTGAACGCGTTCCAAATTAGACCAGTGTACACGTGACCGAATGAAAACACATTTCGTTAGTTTGGTGCAAATTTAATGCTTCTTCCAGAACCGTCTCCGAAGTTCGCCAGACTGAACTGTCACATCAGAAAATCAAAACATCGCTATCATCGCGTGCACGTTTGAGCTGCTGCAGTTCCCCACATGTGTAATAAATAGTTTTTACTCGTTAAAATCCTGCTTCATTTCGAAGTAATTCGTGAATATAAACGGCAATCTACGCAGGAAAGTATGTCAGCGGGAGCAGAAACGGCACCGGTATTCCCGAAGCTGAACGCCGAGGAGGAACCGGATTTAGGAGCCACCGAGATCGAGTCCATGTGTATGAACTGCCACGAGAATGTATGTTCCTTAAAACCTGCCTGAATCGATCGCTTGTAACCTAATGGTAACCTTAATCATTTCAGGGCACGACACGGCTGCTGCTGACGCAGATTCCCTTCTACAAGGAGGTGGTCCTGATGTCCTTCTGTTGCGATCACTGCGGTTTCCAGAACAATGAAATCCAACCGGGTGGCGAAATGGCTCCCAAAGGTATCCGGATCAGTGTCAAGATCGACACAATGAAAGACTTGAATCGACGCGTCGTAAAGTCCGACTACTCCAGCGTCCGGATAGAGGAGCTGGATTTCGATATTCCAGCTCAGTCGCAAAAGGGGGAGGTAACTACCGTCGAAGGGATCATCGATCGGGTGGTACGAGGATTGGAGCAGGACCAACCCGTCCGTCGAATACAGCACCCGGAGGCAGCGGAACAGATCGATGCCTTCGTCGAAAAACTCAAAGAGCTGAAGGAGATGAAGCAACCGTTCCGGATAACAATCGAGGACATCTCCGGAAACAGCTTCGTGGAAAATCCTCTGGCACCACAACCGGATCCGAACACCACCGTTTCCCACTTCATCCGAAGCAAAGATCAGAACCATTCGTTGGGAGTTTTTACCCACGAAGAAGTGGATGGTGAAAACCCCAAACAGCCGAAAATCATCCCGGAGGAGGAAGATAAGATGCTGAAAATGATTTCCGAGGGTTCCTGGCCACTGGAAGAACTTCATGGGGAGGTGCTGCAGTTCCAAACCAACTGCCCGGAATGTGCGGCCGATTGCGAAACGAATATGAAGGTGACCAACATTCCACACTTCAAGGAGGTGGTCATTATGGCAACGGTCTGCGACAACTGCGGTTTAAGGACGAACGAAGTCAAGCCAGGCGGTGGCATCGAGGAAAAGGGCGTTAAGATTGAAGTTACGGTTCGGGGAAAAATCGATTTCTCACGGGACGTTTTGAAGTCGGAATCGTGCGATCTGCACATCCGCGAGCTGGAGTGCGAAGTGGGTGCCGGTGCCCTGGGAGGGCGCTTCACCACGATCGAAGGCTTGCTAACGGCTATCAGGGATCAGCTGGTTGACAGCACCGGTATGTTTATGGACTCGAACGACGAGGCAACAAAGCACCGAATGGATAACTTCTTCGGGCAGCTGGATGCGGCCATCGCTGGGAACAAGCCGATGACGATAGTGCTGGATGATCCGACGGGAAATAGCTACGTGCAGTCATTGAACGACGATGGCACTCCTGACGAGGCATTGCGGATAATAAAGTATCACCGGTCGTACGACCAGAATGAAGAACTCGGATTGAACGACATGAAGACGGAAAATTACGGAGAAGAAGATGATGCCAAGCAGGAGAAGTGAGGAGGTGAGTGAACGATTTTCTGTTCCTGTTTAGAATGTCAGGAAAGTATAATATTGATACATTTACGATCAGAACATCTGGATTTCTGCCGTCTTCTCTTTGCGAAAGAAATCTCCCGAATGCATTTCTTTGATTTTTGAGGGTTGAGTTATGCTCAAACGATTCCCAAAGGAAGTTGTTTCGGGAATCCATGTTAAGGCTTGGACGGCTTCTGAACACGATGCCTCCAAAAAAATGTTTATGTTTGCAATGACATAGTATAGTCATTTCTTGATGAATCTCGAAACTTGTGATACCAGTAGAATCCCTAGAGTCTGCAGATTATTTCGTTTATAGGTTCAAAATAAGGTCGTCTACGGCTGCAGAGCTGTACTCAGGATATTTGTTTGCAGACTTTTTCTGACGTTCATAGAACTTCCCTGAAGTTCAATGAACTTCTCTGTTTCTCTGGAGTTTGCAAGAATTTCCTAGGGTTCGTAGAACTTTATTATTGAAGTTCTTAAAGTTGTCCTAGACTTCGGACATCTTCATTGAAGTTCGCAAGACTCACCTAAAGTTTGCAGAACTGTACTGATGTTCCGAGTATCGTTCAAGTTCAAAGAACTTGCCTGCAGAATACCGAACTGGAGTTTGCAAGATTTCCCTGGACTTTGCAGAACTTTCCGGATGTTTGTCAAATGTCCCTAAAGCTCGCATATGTTTCCTGTAGTTCGCAATACTTTCCTTAAGTTTGAAAATTTTCTCTGACGTTCAAAAAACCTCGCTGCAGTTTTCAAATGAATCTGACTCATATTTGAGTAGGTGCCGTTTTTTGCGAATTTGAGTTAACGGTATGAAGAGATTCATTTTTCGTGATCAAGTTTAAAATTGGAACAACCCACACGCGACAATCGAATTTACTCTCGATCTGCACATTAAACATAACGTCGTACATAGTGCGCATTATAGCGCATCGTTGTGCGAATACAGCGCACTATGGCCGACACTATGTTTGACGTACAAAACAGGAGTAAAATCGATTGTCGCATGTGGGGTTTTCCGGTTAACAACACAGCAAAAAAAGTTGTTGAATATTACATCGAAACTGATGCAACCAGGTCAATCCATCGGTTGTGTAATATCACATTGTACGATGTACATCGATTTTGCGAACAAAATTACATCCATTGATGTAATATTGTATCTGCTTTTTGCTATTACATCATTATTTCATACATCAGCTTGAATTACGTTGATCGATATTACATTTTTTTTTGCTGTGAACTGTATCGATATACTCAACCAAGTAAAAGTGACTTACTCTCTGAGTTAGTTTCGTTTTCAGTGTTTGCAAGTCCTTTCAAGTGGTATAAAATAAGAAATCTTGACAGTTGCGGCATTCGATTGCGTGTGTGTTGGTTGGATGCGTGTTTGTTTGCCACAGGTGAACAGAACGTCAAACCTACCCGCTAGCACCAGCTACAACTCTCCGGTAGGGGAAGCCCTTTTGGCATAAGGATAATCAGACCCAAAAGTTATAACACACATAATGCTTGTGTAAAAATGCCATCTTTCGGCTGAAATTTCCATCCCTAATTGCTTTAAAATTAAATCATCTGATGTGCGTGAGTATTCGCAGTTTGGATACTTTTCCTACTCTTAAGTCGACTTCTTGCCGTATGCGGAGAAATATTTCGGTGAACCCTTATGCCAAAATGGGGTGAACCCCCTTCTCTGACAGAACGAGTCCCATCAGTTTTTAGTTTGGCAGCAAGCAGCGCAGTAATGCGAACAAGCAGCAGCAGCAGACCGAAAAATGGCTGATTCCAAGAGATCAACAACAACGACGTCGTCCACGAATAACAGCGGCACTGGCGGCAGCGGCAGCAGCAGCAGCAAATCTCGCAAATCCAAGAACGACCTAATCCGCAGCGCCGTCGGCAGTTATCTCAAGCAGCGGAACTACATCGTAAGTGTGTGATGCAGGTCTTTTTTTTTTTTTTTAGTGGTGTCCTCTCTCCTCTCTGTAGATAACCTAGAAAAAGAGGAGAGCGGTGCAAAAATATTGCGGAATGCTTCCTGTCTGTGGGGGCCGATTCCGATTGTTGTCGGGGGATTTCAGTTCGGTGATCTGCAATCTCCGGAGTTCGTGATCGGCGGTAGAAGCAATTAACGGGGAAAAAGTTGGCTTCGGGCAGTGTAAACAAAAGTGTTGTTTGATGATCGTTTGTTTTTATCTGTTCTTTTTGGTGTTCTTATCGCTGCAGGTAAACGATCGCTACCGAAAATCGGATCTAATTCTAACGCAATCCACCGAGCAAATCGCAATGAACACTGCCATCGAAAACGAGATATCTAAGGCGAACAGTTTCCTGTTCTCGAACATCTTCTGCCTGAACAACAATCCTGCCCAGGTGGATCAGCACTTTGTCAAGTAGGTTCCATAAATTTACAGGGAGGGAATCCAATTAATCTGTTTTATGACTTCCAGATTGTGTAACTTTATCAAATGCCAAGTGGAGCCGGTCCGGCAAGAGCTATCCGAGCTGGTAAATCCTCTTCTCTGTCATCTGTACATCGAGATGCTGAAGGGGCGCGACTGGCGTCCGGCAATTCTTTTCCTCCGGAAGCATGCCTCCCTGGTAGGGAAGATCGAACCAAGCTCCGTTCCTCCGAGCAACTCTCCACTGATTATGAATCAGAAAATCAACGGCACCGTTGAGGAGCAGCAAGCATCCGGGATTCCCGCTTCAACCGTGCAAAATTCAGTCATTATTTTCTCCCCCACCATGCAAGGTACACCTGAACCCACCCAGAACGCCAGTCCCAAGCTGGAAACGTTCAAGCAACTCATTAACAAACTATCGCAAATCACCCGGATCCAGGATCTGGAAAATAATCCCCTGACGCTTCAGTTTCGATCCTGCCAGTACGAAATGCGACTTGGATCTCCTTCGATTGCAGCCCTACGACGATATCTGGCCAAATATGGCCACTCGTTGATACTGCAGATCCTCCGGAATTGGTTCTATTTCGAGACCATCGATGATAAGGACTTTGTGGACTACAGTCCGGTGCTGGCATCGCCCAAAGTTCATAAAAAGCCACGATTAGTCGGGACTTCCAATGGAATGGATCTGCTGAATGGTCTTCCAATGGAGGTGGATGCGCTGGATGTCACGCCAGAGCCGGAATATGATTTTTCCGAACACTCGGAGGCGGAAAATATGAAATTTATCCTGCGGAACGGCTTCAGCAGCGAGTACATCCGGTACAAAGTTCGTGAGCTGAATGGAGGCTTCGACGGGGGAGGAACCACGATGGATATGGACGACGATGACGATGAAGATGATTCGGCATATCTGCCAGCCCTGGAGGACATCCCACCTAGTGTTAAGGCGGAAGTATTCCCGGATGGCGATCAACAGCAGCAGCAGCTACAGGATGACATATCCGGCATGTTTCGGAGGATAACGGCAGCGGAACGGTTACGAAAGCTGCGGGAGTGTACGGAGAAACTGAACCGATTCCAGTCGCCGCTTTGCATCTACCAGGTGGAGAATGTGGACGATCGATTGACAGCGGTGGCGATCGATGAGGACAGTTGCCATTTGGCCAGTGGATTCGAGGACGCTTCAATCATCCTGTGGTCGGTCAATCGGAGCACTCAAATCGGACGGAAACCGTACGCCGGACTGCGCGATCGACGGTGCTGTTGGAATGTGACTTGCTGTGATAGTAGTTTTAGCGAGGACGAAGACGAGGAGGAGGAGAAGGAAGATGGCGAAGGGAAAGGCGATCTGCGTGGCGGCAAAGAACGGGAGTACGACGATCCGGGAGAGCGCTCCGGGTTGCGAAATCTGTTCCGGGTCAAGACGAAAGCGGAGGTGGATCGGTTGAACAAGCTACTGCCCGTGTACAGCCGAAGGCAGGGCAAACGGGAACGCTGGAAGCAGTTTATGGATCGGAAGTGCAGTGAAAATGTGTTGTAAGTATTAGGAGGGGGTGGGGGTGTGTGTGAAAACTTGATATTCAGTTATCCATTTGAAATTAGGAACGTATTCATCCAGGGCTTGTAATTTATTTGATCGTCGGGCTTTGACAGTGTCCTACACAGAGTTGGTAAATGTTAGGGGTAAGCAATGTCGCTTATGATACGTTTTTCGAGGTTCTGAAATACTGCATGATTTAAGGTGTTTCGGTTATGAGCCTCGGTTTTGAGAACCTCCGAGGAACTGAGATTGGAATCAAGAAAAGGTTCGGATCAGGGTTCTGATGCAGGGTCAAATATCAGTATCATCGCTTAATTTTGTCACTAAGGACATCTATTTTGATTCATAACAAGGCGCGTATTTGGAGAGGTCCCAGAACTCTTCGGATGATGCGGACCATCACAATTGAATTCGACTTCTTGTGATAAGAGCAAGTTATCGAAAACGAATACCTCATTACTTCAAAAAAATCAATGTGCTGATCAATGAATGTGCTGAAAGATCAATGTGCTGATCGCAGTGATTAGGACCAGCACAGAGGGGAAAAATGCTTTTTTGACGTAGGATTACGTCTTTCGGCAACATATTGGGGGTGCAATTCTAGATAGAGCTGGAATTAGGGCGTAACAGCTTTTGTAAACAATGACTTCTATCGATGATTTCTATGAATTCAAGGCACGTCCACGCAGACCAACCTAACCATCGGCTAGGGGAAGTCTTTCCCTACCCGATGAGGATATTGGTTTGCGTGGGAGAGCCTTTAATTTCTAGAAATCATCAAGACAAATCATTGTTTACAAAAGCTATTAGGCCCTAATTCCAGCTCTATCTAGAATTTCAAAAAACCAAAATCGACCGCGTTACGAAAAGTGTTCAGGTTTTGATCACTTATAACTCTGTGAATAGCGGATGGATTTGAATTTTAAACAAGCCAATCGATAGGAATTTTTTCTACGAATCTGCAAAAATAAACACTTTATCAATTTTCAATAGGTCACTATTGAAAATTACACAAACAGTTTACCGGCAAAAAGTGCTTTCCCTAACACAGATTTCAAAATCAAATTTCATCCGGTCTCGCCGAACGGTGCTTATTCAATCACCGTTTGTGGTAGTGTCCGGTCGGTCGTCATCAGCAGCAGCAGTGCTTTCGATGCGTGGCGTTGAACATTGTTCTCCAGTACACAACGAAAGGCTGCCCGCAAACGGCGAGCTGCAGCCCACATGAGCGTCCATTCACCGAAGAAGGAGGAAGAAGCCGCACCGCTACTGATCGGATTCAGTAGATCTTCGTGAGTCGCTGTGCTACAGCTCGTCAGCCTCATCCGTATTGAACACCCTAATAGCATAGAGGTAACTCTAAGACTAGAAGGTCTCGAAATAACGTGCTCAACTTTTTGGCTCAGCTCTGGTACTCTCTTCGGTCCCAAGCTAATCGCTTCATCCCTCGAAACATAGGAAAAACCAATAACCCCTCATTTTATCTGTCAAACTTTCATAGCGAATCAAAACAAACATTGCGTAGTACTAGAATGGGGTACGTTAATCGTTTACTTGGGACCAATAGGCTAGTCAAGTAGCGAGCCAATTTCAAAACGTTAGTTTCGTATTGATTGTTGCTAATAGCTCAGCATTACTCAACCGGTTCTTTTCAGGACAACCATTTTTATTAAACGTTCGCTCGCCTTGCTGCCAGCCACATCACCCCAAAGCTCGCTGATAATGTACCCAGCAACCAAACGTTTGTGGTCAAATGCGTAACTGTATTGAAGAGGTTAATACAAATTCTCGCAATGACCGAATACAACATGACTTTGTCAATTAACCAGAAACACTTCGAATTAAGTTAAGGTTTTCTCCAGGACGCTACAAAAAAGCAAAAAAACTCGAATTTATATGATTGATAGTTAGCGCTCAACTTCCGAGCCGAACAGACGCATGTGTCGTTATCGTCTACGGAAGCTTCTTGCCGACTATTTTTCGAGCGATTCCTAATACGAAAGTGAGTGAGTGAGTGATCACTGTTAGTTTCGCGTCGCGTGTGGATGCTACCGCGTACAAATGTCCGCGATAAAACGCCGCGAAAACACATTTCGCATCGACTATGCGAATGTGCCGAAGAAGCCATCGTCCGAGGAGGTCCACCAGTTCGTCGGTGCGACGCTCGGCATGAAACGTGAGGAAGTCCTACGTATTCAATACTGCCGCAACACCGGAGTTGCCTTCGTTAAAGCCGCTTGCCTCGAAGTGGCACAAAAAGTCGTCGAGGGAAACGACAACATGCACGAGCTGAGGATCGACGGGCAAGTGTACAAACTACGTCTGATGATGGAGGATGGAGCGGTAGTGGTGAGGCTCTTTAATCTGTCCGAAGCTGTCACGAACGATAAAATTGCCAAGTTTCTAGGCGCGTACGGGGAGGTACTCTCAATCCGAGAGGAGCTAGCAGACGAGAAACACTTTTTTCCTGGTCTGCCGACCGGGGTCCGGATCGCTCGGATGACTATTAAAAAGGGCATAGCATCCTACGTCACAATTGACGGAGAAACGACACTCGTGTCGTACTACGGCCAGCAGCAAACCTGCCGGTACTGCTGCGAGTATATCCACAACGGTATCTCGTGTGTGCAGAACAAAAAACTGCTGATCCAAAAACTGGCAGCAACCGGCTCCTCGTATGCGGACGCACTAAAAAACAAGCCGAAACCAATCGTCCCAAACCCACTAGCTCCAAAGCCACCCACCCCGAAGCCGCCCGCCCTGAAGCCGCTCGCCCCAAAGCCAGTTGTTCCAAAGCCACATGCCCCGAAGCCACTTGGTGCTGCACCGAAGCCGGGAGGTCAAAAACAGCCAACACTAACAGATGTACAATCGTGCCCAAGTGATACCACGAGCCCTTCTGCTGGTACAGAGCCGATCGATGTCGATTTCGACGACTTTCTGAAACCAGCAGACGTGCAGCAGGAAGAAGATGACAACAGTACATGGACGAAAGTTGCCCGCAAATCAGCTTCGCATCCAAAAAGCGACGGCAACGAGACCGATTCGTCAACGTCCAGTAGGCACTCACGAAGGCTGACGAGCAAAAAAATGCGCTGCGATGATGGCAACAACTCGCACGACAAAGACCCCCACCATTAAAACATCCTCTTCACCAGCTATAACATCGCAACGGTAAACGTGAACACCATCACGAATACAACTAAAATAAACGCACTTCGAACGTTTGTCCGAACGATGGAGCTCGATATCGTTTTTCTCCAGGAGATGGAAAACGAGCAGCTCACTCTGCCTGGTTTCAACGTAATTGCCAACGTTGACCACACGAGACGAGGCACCGCCATCGCACTGAAAGAACACATACAGTTCTCGCATGTGGAGAGGAGCCTGGATGGACGCCTTGTTGCAGTGCGCGTCCACGATACCACACTTTGCTGTGTTTACGCTCCATCTGGAACAGCACTCCGCGCCCAGAGAGAGAGATTTTTCAATAACACGATCGCCTACTACCTCCGTCACCACACCGAAAACGTAATTCTCGCAGGTGACTTCAATTGTGTTCTGCGGCAGTGCGACGCAACAGGATACAATATGAGTCCGTCACTCCAAGCCACAATTCAACAATTGCAGCTTCACGACGTGTGGCTAAAGCTGCGCCCGAGAGACTCTGGTCACACCTATATTACTGCAAACTCTTCTTCCAGACTAGATCGCATATATGTAAACAGTGGACTGTGTGAACAGCTGCGCACTGTTAATACTCATGTGTGTTCATTCACGGATCACATGGCTGTTACACTGCGAGTGTGTTTGCCACATCTCGGGCAAGCACAAGGGCGCGGGTTTTGGGCACTTCGTCTCCATCTTCTCACCGACGAAAACGTGGCGGAGCTCCAGACACGATGGCAGTTTTGGACTCGCCAAAGACGCAATTACCGAAGCTGGATGGAGTGGTGGCTGGCGTGTGGTAAGCCAAAAATTGCTAGTTTCTTCCGCTGGAAATCCAAAGAAGCATACGACGAATTTCATCATGCGCAGCAGTCGCTTCACGACCAGCTGCGACGGGCCTACGACGGCTACTACCAAAATCCGGCAATGCTAGCAACCATCAACCGACTCAAGGGAAAGATGCTCGCTCTACAGAGAGGTTTCACGCAAGCCTTTGTACGTATACACGAGCAAATCGTAGCAGGAGAACCGCTCTCCGTGTTCCAGCTTGGCGAAAGGAGAAGGAAAAGAACAACGATAGCACGACTGGATGGCGAACAAGGTGAGATCCTGGACAACTCACAATCCATTCAAGATCACGTACATCGATATTTCGCCGACTTATATTCGGAGCCAGGCGGAGATGCAGCTCAGCCCGAGGATTTTCAGTGCGACCAGATTGTTCCAGAAAACGATGTTTCGAACGAGGCATGTATGGACACAATTACTACGGCGGACATATGGACTGCGATTAAATCCAGCGCATCCAAAAAGTCACCAGGGCCAGACGGAATTCCGAAAGAATTTTACCTTCGAACATTCAACGTCATTCATCGCGAGCTCAATCTGCTGCTAAACGAGGCGCTATCGTCAAATTTTCCATCGGAATTTGTTGACGGTGTCATCGTTCTAGTGAAGAAGAGGGGATCCGGTAACACTGTTGGCTCTTACCGCCCCATCTCGCTTCTCAACTTCGACTACAAGCTGCTCTCCCGTATACTGAAGGCGCGCCTAGAAAATGTTATGACAACACACCGAATACTGAGCAACGCTCAAAAGTGTTCGAACGCACACAACAACATCTTTCAGGCCACGCTGGCTTTGAAGGACAGGATCGCTCAACTGACGGCTCGTAAACAGGTTGGAAAATTAATCTCTTTCGATCTGGACCACGCGTTCGATCGGGTGAGGCACTCATTCCTCTTCGAGAATATGCGCTCCCTCGGCATTAACAACCGGCTCGTGGACTTGCTCTCGCGGATTTCAGCTCTATCCTCTTCCCGCCTGTTGATAAACGGGCACCTGACGACATCGTTCCCCATACAGCGATCAGTGAGGCAAGGGGATCCCATTTCGATGCATTTGTTTGTGTTGTATTTACACCCACTAGTTGAGTCCCTCGAGCGAGTGTGCGACACCGACTTGCTCGTGGCATATGCGGATGATATTAGTGTCATCACCACATCGGCGAGCAAAATCGAAGCAATGCGTGAAATATTTGATCGTTTCGGGAGAGTGTCTGGAGCGGTACTCAATCTTCACAAGACGACGTCCATTGATGTCGGCTTCATCAATGGGAATCCGATTCAAGCAAACTGGATGAGGACCGAAAATAAGATCAAAATACTGGGTGTGATCTTTGCCAATTCTATACGGCTCATGATCACCCTAAACTGGGACATGCTGGTGGGGAAAATAGCGCATCAAGTGTGGCTACATTCACTGCGCACGCTAACCCTTCATCAAAAGGTGATTCTCCTTAACACGTTCATCACGGCCAAGATTTGGTACTTGTCATCCGTATTGCCGCTATACTGTGTACACATGGCCAAAATAACCGCCACCATGGGGACATTTTTGTGGAGAAGACAGCCAGCGCGTGTACCAATCCAACAACTGGCTAGACCACGCGATCAAGGAGGACTAAAGCTGCAGCTGCCGGCGCTGAAATCCAAAGCATTGCTGATAAACCGCCATCTCCAGGAGATCGGTTCCATTCCCTTTTACAATTCCTTCCTCACCCGTACAAATCCTCACCCACCCCCTGCAGATCTTCCTTGCCTCAAAACAATCCTGCAAACTTACCCTCGTTTGCCACCTCAAATCCAACAAAACCCTTCCTCCGATCAAATTCATAGTTTTTACCTCGGCCAAACGAACCAACCGAGAGTAGAAATACGCCACCCTACAGTGAATTGGAGACGCGTGTGGCTCAACATCGGAAGTAGGATGCTGTCATCAACCCAGCGTAGTAACTGGTACCTACTTGTGAACGAAAAACTCGAGCACCGACAATTGTGGCACACCATTCGGCGCGCGGATAGTCAACAGTGCATACACTGCAATGCAGCCACAGAAACACTGAAACACAAGCTGAGTGAGTGTCTACGAGTGACTGCGGCGTGGACGCATTTGCAGAGCATATTGACGACATACCTAGGCAGCCAGAGGAGGCTCTCTTTCGATGAACTCATGCACCCAGTTTTGGGAAGTGTAGGCAGAAGACAAAAAAATGAAATATTAAAACTTTGTATTAATTATGTCACCTTTGTCATGAATTGTGATAATGTAGTAGACGTAGGCGAACTAGATTTTTATCTGCAAGTTGAAATGTAATTAATTCCTATGCAATTAGTTTTGAACAAAATCAACAGAAATAAACTAAATTTTATGTAAAAAAAAAAAAAAAAAAAAAAATTGATCGCGAATATCTCGCGAATGGAAAATTTTAGCAAGAAATTCCTCCAAATGAATTTTTGTTTTTTTTTTTTTTTTATTATCTATTGAATAAAACAAAAAATCCGTGCGTTTGGTGCACGAAAATGCGTAATTTTGTCATCAGAAAACGAGGAGTCTCCATGATTGGAAAAAGTGTTTTCCCTAATACAGTCGCCGAATATTGAAACCGAGCACGTAATCCTACGTCAACCTTGCGCAACCTTCATGCAGGATCGTCCCTTCTGACTGCAGTTCAATGAGGTACAGAGAGAGGTGAAGCAGATCGTGAAATATGGTTGTATTAGTAAACCAAAAAATCAACGTAAACGCAATTAGTGACGTCACTAATTGCTTGTACCGTATAAGGGTTGCACTCATCTCGGCACTCATACAACTTAACCGATCGCTTCACCTCGGTAATCCAGCTCATTGACTGCAGTCGTCCGAGTTAGTGTTTGTCTTTGATTCTCCAAGTGATCTAGTTGGATTTTATTCCCAAAATAGAGTTAGTCCAAGTGGTTTCGAAAGTACAGTTTGCTAAGGACCCAACAGTGTCAGAATCCTAAAAAAAGTCCAAGAATGTAAAAAAACTGGCCTAGCGTCATAAGCTTGATAATTTTGAAATGCAATCTTCGAACAAAATGCCAGTCTGTGGCTGTGTTCCATTTGGTGAATTTTCACTTAAATTTGACGCTTCGAAAATAAATTATAATGTTCGAAAATCCCTCGTCCAATTTTCGAGAAGGTGTTTGTCAAAATTTATTCCTGGTCTGTCAGAAATAAGTCTGGTAGAATAGCAGGATCCGTCTTTTTTTTAACTTTATTTTTGAGATTTTTAGCCGTATAGGTTAGTTCATCTCGTCCATGAAAGGTGCGGCCTCAGAAGGAGGACCCCCAACAGAGTAGTTTTTTACAGTGTTTACTTCAACCGAACATTGGTTCCTGGCTCGATCGTACATTTACACAACGTTAAAATCTGAATAAGACAGATAACACAGGGAGGGCCCCCACCAGGCAGAGATGTCCCAACAGCCGAAAGGAATTAAAAAAGACTAAACTTTAAAATACAATGCAGCATCCTTTAAAAAGTGCATTACTGCTGCCAGTGTGGAGGGATCATCACCCAGCATGTCGCGTATGCTATTTGGAAGCCCGTGGAATTACCACAGGTTCTGATACTGAGGGCATACGCATAGAATGTGCTCGATTGAGGCTGGAGATCTACAACCGACGCAAGTCCTGTGGAACGGCGTTCCTCCGAAATTGTGCGAGATCTTGGTGTGACCGGTCCTCAAACGCGACGCTATCTTCTGATCCCGCTGGTTCAACTGTTCTGTCCATTTCCTCGTCGTCCCTTTGATCCGTCTGATGAAAAGGGAGCGGTTTTGGGCCCACTCTGCTTTCCAAGCTTCCCGTACTTTGCTCACGATCCAGGGCTTAACATCGTGTAACGGTACTTCGTTGGTATAGCGAGGGACAGATGGTCCTGCCCCAGCCGGAAAGTCAGCTTCAGAGTTGCCTGGTATTCCGCAGTGCCCAGGAACTCAGCAGAATACCGTGTTTGGTGGCGCGGACTGCATCGTCGCCTGTACCCAGGGATGAGTCGGGGCCTCGGATGTCTGGGCTTGTATGATGCTGTGCGAATCCGTGAGGACCAGGATCGGTCGGTCGGAGAGCGTTGTAGCAGCGATGAAGATGGCAGCAGCTTCAGCAGAGAAGACAAAACATTGCGGCGGTAACCTGCAGCTGGTTGGTGTGATGTTTCCGGCTAGATCGATACCGATCCCGGCCTGAGAGCGAGATCCGCCCGTGTATCGGTGAGTGTGCGTGGGGTATTTTTCTCCTAACATTTCAGCTACAGTCCTTTTCATGACCACGGAATTGTCTCCGGCTTTGAAACTGTCCTTAATCCGGCTTTCGATTTTCGGTAATGGTGTTTGCCAGCATTTGGGAGATCTTCGTTGGCAGCCGTGCGGAGGAGTCTGTTCCCCTAGTCGAGGAGGAAGATCCCTTGATTTCCGGATGTCTTCGAGATGAAAGCAGCGGCTTTGGTTGCGATAGCTGTGGTTATACGGAAGCGGAAAGGCAGGATGCCTGCGTCGATGCATGCAGCGTCAGCGAGCGTGAATGGCAGCAGGCCAGAGACAATCCGGACGTAGGTGTTGTAGACTGGTGCTAACGTAGCTAAAAGCTTATCCGTTGCGATGCAGGTCATCTCCAACCCGTATAGAAGGTGACTGTCGATAATTGCACTCGCCACGTGAAAACGGATGCTGCGGTTGTTCGATCTATTCTGTTGGGAAATAGTCCGGGTGAGATTCACTCGACTGCGGCAATTTTTTTTGACTGCACTGAAATGCTGTTCAAATTTGAGGAATCGGTCAACGAGAACTCCCAGAACTCGGACGGTCTTCTTCTGCGGTATGGACTGGTCGTCGGTTTTGGTCGGTGGTCCGCTAATTCTGTGTCGAGAAGGGCAGACATGGCACCTGATGCTTTTAGAGGCTGATAATTCAAAGCCTGAGACTGCCGCTTGGGCTCTCATCCTTGTACGTACTGGCGGTGGTCCGGTGGTGACGATTAGGATGCTCCGTTCATCGCCACGAGGAACAGGGTAACGGCGATAACCGATCTTTGTGGGACACCCGTTTCCTCGGGGAAAAGCCGGGACTTGGTGTTGCCGTCTGCGACTCGGAATGAGCGGTTGGACACGAAGTTCTGGATGAAGTGAACGTCCGTTAAGACCCCAGTCGATTAGTTGCATAAGGACGAGGGTTGTCCACGTTCTGGACAAGTCCTTCGATATGTCAAGCGATACTATCTCGGTGTGCAGACCACTGTCGTAGGCGTTCTTGAGAACTTCCCCTAGGGTTGCGAAATAGGTGGACGTTCCGATCCATCTGTCAAATCTAAGTGAAAATTTACCACAACCTGAATATTCAAATGCTCGTAGATCTAATTGAAGAATCAAAGTGACGATTGACACACAGATGGCGAGTGGGTAAAAATGACTTTTCGATATCTGTAAAATTGCATGACATTTTAGTACATCATCATTTTTGTAATTGCGGACCTGAAAACTAGGTGTCGCATGACCAGTTTTGGCTTTTGCTTTGATTCGCCAATAATCTATTATGTGATTTCAATAGAAGTGTGAGGTGATGGTTTTCTGCATTTAAATGGTTACAACAACGCAGATTTCGCGATTTTCTCCCGCATTTGGCGCGGATTTGTTATCAGACTTCTTATGGCACGGATTTGCTTATTTTCAGATTCAGATTTTATTTGAAATTTCTCTTAAGAACCCTGCATTTAAAATAAAATGCCATTACTATTTTTTTTTTCATGAAATTGTTTTGAACCTTCTCTTGATGTTCTTGGTGTGGCGTTAGGATGTTTGGTGTAATGATGTTTCGGAGTAGTGACAGTTTGTCTCCATGTTACCAAAAATCGTATTCATTAATAATATTCTTAAATTTATCTTTCCCCACAAACAGCAGCGAAACCGGCGGAGTCACGCTGCGCGGCCACTCGAATGCCATCACCGATCTCCTATTCTCGAACCACGCTCCGCTGCTGATGAGCGTCTCGCGGGATCTCACGATGCGCGCATGGCAGGCCACAGACTACACCTGTCGAGCGGTGTACCGAGGCCACAATCATCCGATCTGGACCGTGGCGGAAAGTCCGACCGGAATGTACCTGGCGACCGGTTCGCGAGATACGACGGCCCGGCTCTGGTCCACGGATCGTGAGTTTCCGCTGCAGATCTACGTTGGCCATACGCAGGACGTGGACACGGTGGCGTTCCATCCCAATGGGAACTACTTGGCCACCGGGTCGACGGATTTGACCGTCCGTTTGTGGTGTGCCACCAGTGGTAAACTGTTTCGGATCTTCACCGACTGCCGACAACCGGTACATCGGATCTGCTTCAGTCCGGATGGGAAATATTTGGCCGCTGCCGGTAAGCTAACCACATACAGTGTATCTCAAAATTGAGCGTACAGCTGCCCTTGCATTTTAGAAGAAAAAAAAAAACAGCTGTACGAGCATAATTTAAAACGAATGAATGACTGCTGGCTCATCAAACAATTATTTTTCATCTGTATGATATTGGATTTATTTGGTTGAGTGCGTAAAAATTTAGAGCTCAACACACCTTTTTCTCAAAAAACTACTCTTTCTTAGAGTTGGTTGGAAATGTTATCTAACGTGAAGCTTTAGTGTGATAATTTATTAGCTAGAGAAAGGTCTGAAGATAGTAGGTTGATAGTTCCGCTAGAGTACGGCAGTATGAAAATTGACAGTACTAGTCAAACGCACATTTCTTTACCTAACTCATACATTAATGTGAGTATTTCTTCAAATCTATAGGCAAGCAAGTGCGCGTTTGACTTACTCTTGACTGCGGTTGTGGAATAGTTTTATCGACGTTTCATCGCTACTTTGTCTTCAAATACGATGAACCAAACTGTTTGAAACTTTATTCACTTGTATAGGGGAAATGGATGTAATGTCGGCCTAAATGCCCCTAATTTGGGCCCATAAATAAATTCAACAATCGGCTAAATTTTCATTAGCGACCAAAAACAGCCATTAGTATTGTCCCAATATAGATAAAATTGATAACTAGTAGAATTTTAGCTATGGGCCCAATCTTAGATCCATAAACCAACATTAGAGTCATTTCCCCTATATAATAAAGATCTATATGCCACTAATTTTGCTAAAATCCTCAGCAAAAGTTGAAAATCGAGCATTTTACTAAAGTACAGACTCTGCCAATAAAGTCCAAAACTATACCGATAAATCAATAAAAAGTTGTTCAACCACCAGCCAAGATTTCAAAAATCTATTTTTTAAACGTTTTTTTTTAAAAATAACCCTTCAGGTGTACACTCAATTTTGCGATACACTGTAGCTTCCCCCTTTCCGACCTTAACCCCGTATACGTTCCTCTTCAACAGGCGAAGAAAATCGCGTTCGGATCTTCGATCTCGCCGCGGGCTCCCAGCTGACCGAGCTGCGTGACCACACGTCCGGAGTAACCTACGTCACGTGGAGTTCCGACAGTCGGCACTTCGTGTCGGCCGGTGCCGACGGAACGGTCCGAATATGGGATGCCGTCAAGATGGTTTCGTCGTCTTCCTCGTCGTCGTCATCTTCCAGCAGTTCTTCCGTTAGCAATCAGCAGCAGCAAAATTCAATCAGTAGTCCAAGCAGTGGCGCTGCTGCTGCTGCTGCTACACTGACAAACAATGGCACCGCCAGTGTTGCCAACCACTCTCAGAAGACCAGTTCCTCGTCGCAGCAGTCGTCGTCCTCCTCAAGCAATACAACTAACAATCTCTTGCTCGCCTACTCGACGGGCTGCCGGCGGATCTACCGGTTGCACTACAATCAACTCAGCGGAAGTCTCAGCTGTATCGGTAACAGCTAAGAACAACTACAATTACCTTCTTCATCCCAACAACGCAGCGTTAAGTATTATTTATTCTCTTTACCTTCAGCTATCTTTCTTCTATTCTTGTTTCCTCAAGGAAAAAAAAATGCCTCTCGTTACCCTGATGGAATGATATACTCAGAGAGTGTTTCGTTGCTCCCTTTAATAATATGTGTAGAAAGAGAAAGAGATACAGAGAGAATTAGTCCGAATTTTTGTTTGTTTAAGAGCCTCTGTTGTTGTAAGTTAGTGTTTAAGCTACAAAAGTAATAAAAGCCAATAATGATGTCCTACTTAGCTAGAGAGAGAGAGTGATAGCAATTTGATTGATCGCGACAACGCACGCCCTAGGGTATGCAAATATCTTGAATAAGTTTGAAAATCATGATTGTGAAACAATGGGCTGAGTAAAAACTACTTACTTGCGCAAAGTTACGAACGGTGGGTGGAATGTTTGCGTGGGAAAATATCACAGCCATTGGTCAGGTTGAGCTCTGCAGAGATCTGTAAATGCTTAACCTGAAAGTGAGTAAATGAAAATTTAAAAACTGGTTTTCTCTGAGTCATCACTTCAGATTGGAGAAAGCTCTCGTCGTTCCGTGCGAAATAATCAAAGGAAAACATCGACGAGAGCTTTTTGCAATCGGACGTGATTTCTCAGAGATAACCATTTTTGAATTTTTCATTCACTTATTAGGTCACTTTCACCTTAAGGTGATTCCTTGAAGAGTCCAAAATGGCCGTCATCATGGCTGATATTTTTTTTTTTTTTTTTTTTTGCAGCAAGTATGGAATTCGAGTTTTATTGTTCTATGTTTTGTGGGAGCTGATATTTGTGCTCTTGAAATTTCGAGGTGATAGAACGATCAATCATAAATAAGTTTTCCACAACGATTCATCTTAAGTGTGAATGCTATCAAACGGGTACAGTTATAATTCACTTGTTGGGTGACATCCCTACTAAAATGCAGTTAGACTCAGAAACTTGAGAATTTTTGCTAATCCTGGATCTTCAATTTCTGTTCGGCACGGATGGCAGAGGAGTTAAAACAAGCTGTCCCGAGCCTTGTTTAATCACGCGAAGCTTTACTTACCACGCCGAACGGTTTGGATGGTACGCCGTTGCCCTGCCGGGACTGCTGGAGCGAGTGCCTTTTTTCTCGATTCTATCAAAAAACTGTTTAAGACGCTAAGACAGTTACTCTACTAAATTAAGAGACTGTTACAATAGCCTGGTTCAGAATTTGATAGAAAGAAAAGGAGTGCCTTTAGCATCAGGTGTTTGGACTTTGATTGTAGACTGAGGACTGAATTTGTCACTAAATTAGAGATTCTGGTCTCATCAGTAATCTTAGTTTAAAACCTGATGACGGTACTGGCTGGAAGGAATTCGGATCTTAACAGATCGACAGACGTTTTAAGACTAAAGAAAACATTCGATTTATTAAATAGAAAATTTTCCTTATATAGAGGTTTGAGCTTTCTTAGGAATTAGATTTCCTTAGAGTTAGGTATTATCCAGTGATTGATTGATCAACTTAATGTTTTAAGGTGATCATTAGACGTAGTTTCAGGATTGTAGTCGTATCATCATTAAGCTTGCTGTAGGGTTAATTTTGTGTTTCATTTTTTTTTTCTTTGGTTTGTTTTTTCGTCGATCTTGTTTTCCGTGCTGAGCACCAATGCTACCGACGCCAGGAAGGCAGCTCCCACACCTGGACCCTACCTATCGACCCATCAACTCATGAACCGGGGACCAACGGCTTTACTTCCCTTCCGAAGGAAGGCGTGATCAGAGATGTTATGCCTCAGAACATCCCGGCGGCGCCGACTGGGATTGAACCCAGGCCTGCTGGGGTGAGAGGTAATCACGCTTACCACTACACCACCGGCACCGCTTTTTTGTGTTTCATGACGCTTCTAATAGCTTCTCACCACCAATCCGTAAGGGGTGGTGGAAAAGCGACTTGGAAATGTATGATGAAATTCACTTTTAATTAAAAATATCAGTAATGGTGCAATTTGTCCGTTATATTATTTCTACATAATGTCACTATTACTAAACGACCAAAAAGTAGAAATTTTCTTACCAGCAAGGTTTTAAGAGAAATCGACGAGAATTTTTTTCGAAAATCTCCATACCGCAATACTAGCACAGACCAGACTAGCACAATAGCGAGCAAGGACAACTTTAGGAAGGTACAAATCGGTTTGATCATCTCTCTTTACCAAACTCCCCCGATGGATTTTCAAACCTACGACTGGATGCTTTCCTTCAGATAACAACTTAAGTGCGGTAAAAATCGATACCACTTTAGTCTGTTATTTGAAATTAGCATCTTCAACTATGTAAATCGTTGACTTCACGCAGAAGTAATACTAAAAATATAGTCAAAAAATCGGCCCAGCCTATAAATCTTTAAAAAAATCTCTTCCCAAAATTTCTTAGTTCAAGATTTCATATTATAAATCTGTAGATCGCATTGTTTTCCCTGGGTATTGGCATAACCTTAAAAGATGCACACTAGTGATGTAGTTGTGATGTAGCTGACCAAAATTTTGTTGGAATTTAACTAATAGCCAAAATTAAATAATTGCGTAGTTTAGAATTATGATTTTAACTATGAATTGTTTTTCTAAATAATTGAGCCTAATAATCATTTTTTTTTCAAAACTTTTGGAATGCGACATCACACAGGTACTACCCCTTTGAATTTGGCTTGAAGACGATGAAGTTTTGAAAAAGACAACGATATTACCTATCTGCACGCTGGATCAACATATAACCATGCTTGAGGGATAGAACATCATTTTATTTTCATAAAAACAGGACCATCATAGCAGATTATCCGGAAAGCCCTTTGGGATATGGGATATCAGAGACGAAGAAAATTGGAAGACCACGATCCACTCACGTGCTGAAACAATCATCACGAAAAGCGTCCACAAGACTAGTAGTAGTGGCCACATTGCCCCCGAGTGGCTGGGTGGATATACGATAAACAACAAGGCTCAACTACTACGGGCACATCCTTAGGAGCGATCCAGGCGGAATTTTGAAAACGGCACTCACGGGCCTCCCTTAGATCAGTCGGTAAAGGCGCAGCTACAAAGCAAGACCATGCTGGAGATGGCTGAGTTCGATTCCCGGTCCAGTCTAGGAATTTTTCAGGTTGGAAAATTTCTCGACTTCCTTGGGGCATAAAGTATGATTGTACTTGCCACACAATTATACTAATGCAAAAATGGTACATGTATCGAAAGCTCTCAATTAATAACTGTAGAAGTGCATCTAGAACACTAAGTTGAGAGCACGCAATAAGCTAATATGCGATATGCAATAAGCTTGAAATGCGAGGAAGAAGAAGAAGAAGACTCAAGTACAGCATACCAGAACCCAAGAAAATTGAAAGACCGGCATATACCTGGAAAACCTGTATTCGACAGAACGTAGAGAGGAGCAAAATTTTTATTGAAGTATGGTAGGATATAGCACAAGAAAGGAGCAAGTTCAAACAAACCACTTTATAGTAGCATGGTGGAGTCGGAATTTGAGACTAGCAGTGACTCTGTCAGGATAGTGAAGCCGAAGACCTAGTTCCTTCAGACTTCTCCGGATTCAGTGATGAGGACCCCATCATGAGAGGACGCGATTCTGGCAAAGAAGTCGGTCCGAGGCAACGACAATAACTACCCACAAAGGAACCCCCAGTCAACCAAAGATTTAGCAACACAAGTAAGCCCAGAATTTCATGGGTAAGTTTACATAATCGTTATATTAACATGCTACTCCAATAGTAGGTCACTCAACTACCACGGTTGGATGGTTTTAAATCGATTGTTTTCAGTCAACGTATACTGACGTTTAACGAGACCTTTGCACCAGTTGGTGCTTATTCGGAAGCGTTCCCAGTGACAGCTTCTGTCTGGGATGAGACAACGGCTGGGCGATTTTCGAGCGATATTACAAGCTGCTTTCACAAAGTCATCACTCGATACAAGGATACGGAAAAAAATACCTTCTGGCTGGATAATTGCACCTCACAGAATAAGAACTGGAATTTTTCCCTACACTTAATTCTTCTCATCAATTCAGAAATTTTTCGAAAGTGATCATACTTTTATGGCCGCTGACAGTTTTCACACTGCAGTCGAGAAAGCCATGCGCCACGGTCAGCCCACATCAACATTTTCCGACTTCAAAAACGTCGTGCAAAGAGCAAAGAAGATTGTAGAAATTCTGGACATGGAAGCATTGACAATATCAGGAAAGTTGTCTTCATAAAAGGTAAGTACGAAATGCAGCACAGTAGCTCAATAGATGAAACGGGAAAGTTGCTGTCATGCAATATCATCTCAAATAAGCATCATAAGATCATTTTCTCCGACAACTTCACTGTTGAAAGTACCATGACTCATCACAAACGGCCAGTCGGAATAAACCCCGATCGCAAACGAGCCCTGCTGACTTCATTTCTTCCCGTTGTTCCTGATGATCAAAAAGAGTTCTGGAACAATCTTCCCGAACGTAAGGAAACCGTGGAATGCTCGCAACTGCTTGTCGACTGGAGTTCCACCATAGCGGATGACACAGCAAAAGATCATCGACGAAAGCTGTTTTCGAGGCCAGTGCTGCAAAATCTCGACAGTACACGGTGATATTGACAATTCTGCTTTGGTCACTCATTTGAGCCAACAGTCATAGTCAAGGCAAACCATGTCAATTGTCAATGACAATGCTGTCAGTGACGAACATGTGTAGATTTTTATAGTAACTAAATTTGTAATGAAATTAAATGGCTTAAACAAAACATTCACATGGAGTCATTTTAGTGAACAAGCATCTACGTCCTGAACTCCTTGGATAACAATAATGTGACACAGAATGTACTATATTACACGATTTGTTACCAGGTGAATCTTTGCCATTGACGAAAAAATGAATGAGATTTTGACGAAGGTTTTTTTGAGGATCAAGTCTGTCAGTGACTATGTGACGAACAATTTTGTCAATATCGCGCGAAAGTCTGTCAATGACAATGACAAATCTCAGCACTGTTCGAGGCTGTTTTGATATGGAATTCTTCGAATACAAATATATGAATAATTCAACATGGAAACTGTTCGGTCTGGGAAGGCACTTTCCCTTTCGGCAGTGGACTGTATCGGCAATGATTGTTGGTGGAGGCAAGCGGCGATCTAAATCAAACTCTTTGAGCTCTGAAAAGAGCTGGGGGTGGGGTTCAACGCTTGCTCTGAACCAGGGATGTGTGCTGGGTAATTATTCAAACGGCGACGGCTACGCTAGTAACTACTTTTATTCTCTACTGCTTTTCTTTACAAAGGTTTGCTTTCTTCTGCTGCTTGCTGATGCTTACTCGTGGCCGGTCAAAAGGTAACTGATTTCAGTTTGCCTAATGGGTGCCACTTTTATAGGAGCGCACTGTCTGCGCATGGTGATATGGACGTCGCTGATTGGTTAGTGTTCTTTGACTATATGTTTTTAGTATTACTTCTACGTGAAGTCAACGATTTACATAGTTGAAGATGCTAATTTCAAATAACAGACTGTAGTGGTAATTTTTATACGATAGATGGAGTAGATGAAAGCATAGAGTTGATAGTTCCGTTAGAGTACGGCAGTGTGAAGATTGTATATAGATATTAGACAAGCGAGCTAGGACAACTTTTAAGGAAGGTACAAATCGGTTTTTTCATCTCTCTTTACCAAACTCCCCCCTTGGAGAGGGATGGTGAGGGGTGTCTCCCCCGCCACCACTGGCAAAAAGAGATGAAGATCGACCCGCTCATGTACCAACTGTGTGTTTGAAACAGTTCTACCGATTTTTTACCGCACTTCAGTTGTTATTTGAAGGAAGGCATCCAGTCGTAGGTTTGGAAATTGCAACTATTGTTTACCCCTACCACGATATGTGCTCCTGTCATCGTCGACTTGACGATCTCGAGGGGACACGGGTGGGGTAGGTGTTGCTACTGTACCTTTCGACCATTGACAGTAATTGATGGTATGCTCCCATCCAGAGTTATGTACTTTGACCTCGACTTTGACTATATGTTTTTAGTATTACTTCTACGTGAAGTCAACGATTTACATAGTTGAAGATGCTAATTTCAAATAACAGACTGTAGTGGTAATTTTTATACGATAGATGGAGTAGATGAAAGCATAGAGTTGATAGTTAGGGGACCATCATGCACAGCTCTGTTTAGAGTGCCACGCTGGCACTAGGACGGTGATCAGCCGCTCCTAACATGGCGAACAGGCGCCGTTTTGAGCCGCACCTCCATGGTGAACAGATACTCAGATTTGGTAAAGCATTTCCTCTATCACCAAATGCCACATAGGACTGTTATGCGAATAGTGGCAGGATAGATCCCTATTCAAATGTGTTAGCAGTGCTTTTTTAACCACCATTGGTTGGCTCTTCTGGCGTTCCAGTAGCGGATCTATTGGACAGAGCAGGCGCAGACAACTGATCCCTGATTTATGCCCGGAATTCAGCTGTTGGAGTGTTAATTCATGACAATATAGCTAAATCGCCAAGGCACGGGTCTTCCACATATACAAACATATTCATAAAATCTAGATTCATCGTTCAAGATTCAATTAGGTGGAAATATTTGTAATTCTTCCTGGACAACCTACAGCCTTGAAAGAATATTGGATTTTTTAAACAGTTGGAGATCCTCAGAACTGAATCAACCTGAAGTCTTGGTAAAATATCCAGAGAACTTCACTAATATCTTCGTCTATATAGAGATAGTTTGAATATTTCCTGCTGTCTAAAAAGGATGTTTTAAAGAATATCCTGTAACTTATGCAACGTTTCCTGAACATCTACAATACTCCCTTAAGTTGTACAAAATTACCTCAGCTTCTACGAAGTTCTCTGAATTTATTCAAATTCCATAGTTTTCAAATCCATGGGTTTTAAAAAAAGTGCCTTAAAACTATATAGAGGTTCCTGATCAATAATAAGCTTTTCTGAAATAAAATATTCTACGAAGCTCCTCAAACTTAAATAAATTGTCCACTTCTGCGCAGTTTTCAGAACTTTTCCAAGTTCCTTGTTTCTACGATTTTTTTCTGAATATTTATGATGTTCCCAGAATGTTTACTAATTTTTCTCAATTTCTACGATGTTCCCTAAAATTTTTATAAGTCCTTGAAGTTTGACGAAGTTCCCATAAGTTAAAGAAAAATTCCTGGGCCCATGGCCAATCAGCAGAGCCTGAAGACGTCTTATTGTGCCATCAATTAAATATCGATGTAATATTGCCTATTGCATCTGAAACTGGACTGTCCCAAAAATGCAAAAAGTGTGATAAAGGTGCACGTTTCCGTTAAATCGTTTTGATGTCTTTGGAGCACTTATGGCTTGCATCATAAGGAATAACTGCACCGAAGAAATCAAGACGATTAGACGTAAACTTGCAATTTCATCACACTTTTTAATAAGTGAAAACGCGCTTATTAGTCCAATTTGGTGTGAAATGCGCAATACCATGTGATACCATTTCTAAAAATTGCTTCTTCTAGTACAGAACATAAGAAAGGTAGTCAACATAAAGAATTTAAGAAGATAAAGAATTTAAAAAAATATCGATGATTGTGGCCTAATTTTAGCAGCATGCATTACGTTATGCGAAAGGAACCCAATTCAAAAGAACCGTCATTCGAAGAAGCGATTTCGATGTTTCGATATGAACGGAACGAGGATTCATATGAACAGAGACTGATGATTTGTTACAGTGATGGCTAACGGGCTGCACCAACACACACACGCACACAAGTGCGCTGCTGAATCCGATTTTGACAGTTCGTTCTCCCTCCGCGGATGCGTGTTTTTCATCAAGAAGTGCATTCAGCAACCTCTCTGATTGGCTGGTTACCGCAAAGAAGAAAGCATTATCTGTCAAATTGCAACGCAACGCGAGAAAAAAGGAAAACATCTTCGCTCGGTTCGGTGCAGCAGCTGTGAAAAATAGTCCAATCCGCAAGAAAAATCCTCGATTCTCACGGATCCCGAAAAAAAAAAAAACCGGAAGAAGCCGTTGTTAATTCGTGCCTCGCCCCACCAAATGAAAGTGATAACAAACCGAGAAACGCCGTGACAAGTCAACCCAGTCCGTGGATCGCGAATGGTAATCGGTCAAAGCCGAGAAAGTGTGCGAATGTTGGTGAAAAAAATCGCGAAGCCCAATCAAGGTGGCAATCATGATGGGGATTTCCTTTTTTGTTAAGCGATGAAAAAGTATAGCGATATTATTGTTTAAGTCTGGGAGCAGCTAATGAAAAGTATCGCAGGTTGTGGACGAATGCGGCAGGAAATGGAATTTGGGACGGGGTGAGGTGATTCATTTTTGTTTGATTGTGTGATCAGCACTGTGGCGTACGTGCGAGAAAAAACACCATCCGAAGAGGGAAGGTGACCATCACGGAGAGTGAAATGTCAAAAAGTGATTCGTCCTGATAACAAAACAATTGCGTTATCTTTGGTGTGTTTTTGAGCTGGGAAGAAGAAAGTCTCAAAGTGGCTTGGTTTGCAGTGATTGCGCGAGTGTGTGGAAATGAGTGGTGAAAACCGTATTCCGAGCTATCTCCAGGGGACTCAACAGGGAACAGTTCAACAGATGCGTCAATTTCAGCACCAGTGCCGGATCTGCGGAATTTCGGAAGGGTTGCGGCGGTGTAGTCGGTGTCAGGTGGCCTATTACTGCTCCCAGGATCATCAGCGGACTGACTGGCGATTGCACAAGCTCGAGTGTCGTTCGATCCACCAGCTGCAGCAGGTACCTTCGTCGATAGCTGAACCGCAAGCGACGGTTGCCCAGCAGCAACAGTATGCCATATCCCGGAATCAGGGAATTTATCAGAACAATACGATAGCAAGCACCACCAATACTAGTGCAGTGATGGATGAGGAGGTGGTGGTGGGTGGTGCGGCGACCACGATGGCTTTGGAACAGCCGACGACGTCACTTGGCGGGGTGTTCGAGAATGCTACTGGCGTACGTGCAGAATTGTTGTCAACAAACGGAGCACACTCCACCAATACCAGAATGAGTCCCTTGATGAACACGGTAGGTTCAATTGGTTTGTATGGTTTGGGAAATGTTGAGTTGCAAAAGGGTTTTATTTTTGAACCGACATTAGCTCTCAAACCCCCAACGCAACGTTGCAACACTTGCAACGTCTGACCGCAAACTTCTCCTGTTTTTATGAGCTTTAAAGAATTAAAAAAAAATCATTTTTGTTCTGAAAATATTTTGAATTGAAATGAGGCAATCGTTTTGACTTTGTGGGTTTGAAAGCTAGTATCAAATGGCTCATGTTATGACATCACGCATTATAAGCTATGGAATGAATGTAGATTTTAAATAAAACAATGGACATTTTCCATCTCCAACATAATTTTGACAAAATTGTTCAAATTACAACACAAGTGTTCATGTTTATAAGCATGAGCATTAGACTGATGCAAAATTTGACTTTTTCGCTCCACAGTGCTTAAATGGTTTCAAATCGGGTCCTGATTAGCCTCCCAAAGTTACAACTCATTTGGTTAGAAACAGACTTCGCACAAGCCATTTGAAGTTTACATGTAAATTACTATGGGAAATTTCAACTTTTTGTTCGTTGCCTTCTAGTCTTTTTCCATATTGAGCTGCGAAACAGTTCGATAGCCATTATTGAAGAAAATTTTCTCAGCTACAACTTTGCTGAAGATCGTTTCTATGTAAAACGAGACAGGAAAAAGTTATTAATTATTTAAGAGATTGGTAAACTTATGACATTATCAAGCAGCTGCTCTGTAGGCAACACTGTATTTTGAGTGTGACATATTGCGAATTTGTTTATTATTCAGTTCCAACCTGGATCGGGTATCAAGATCGGCTCTGCTTGTTTTCTGACAAACGTCAATTTGATCGTTTGTTTTTAAAACCTACCTCAGGTTTAGGTTCGCACTGACAAAAAGTTCGGTTTCGCACTGGGTTGGAACTGGTTCCAACCCCGTTAATAAACAAATTCGCTAATAGTAACCATGATTATTGTGTCCTATTCAACGCCCCAGAAACATCAATGTTGCCTGCTGAGCAGTTGATTAAGCATGATCATTAGACATCAGCGCATTGAACCATTGATAACTTTCGATCCTTGCATTTCATCAAAAAGTGGTCTTCGGCAAAGTTGTAGCTGGGAAAATTTCCTACAAGTACAGTTGAAAGCTTTTGAAGCAGACTAATATGGTGAATCATAAGATAGACATAAACAAAAATCTTGGTTTTACTATAGTAATTCCCATACAAACTTCAAATGGTTTGTGTCATCTCAGTTTCTCACCAAAGGGGTTCAAATTTTGAGAGGTTAGTTCTGATTTGGAATCGTTTAAGTATTGTGGAGCGAAAAAGTTAAATTTTGCATCAGTCTAATAAGCTTGGATATCCGTACAATTCGTAATTGTTAAGAATTAACCAAATGGGGCTGGGGTGGGATTAGCAATCCATTATCAGTGTGCAAATTCCGGTAGATTAGTACTTTCAAGGTCAATAACTGTGCCGGCCACGTCCTTTCGGTCATCGTGGAGGTCAAGGATTGTTAATTCGACATCCGTTGTTACTACACGCTATTTCAAAACTACCCCAATTCAGGCTTGCTTCAACTCACATGCTATAAAAAAAATGTTTTTCAGAATAATGAAACCAATAGTTGTTATAATGATATTCGGTACTTGTTAGTTACAAGAAGAGGTTGTAAAGTATGTATTTGGTACATAAACCTGTCAATTTCGGTTTCCTAGTGTCACAATCATCGATTTTACTCAGAGTGAGCGCTCACGAATCGAAAAACCGCTGATTGTGACGCTCTGAAAGCGAAATTGGCAGGTTTTATGCGTCAAATACTGAACCTGAACCTACCCAAAAATGTGTAAACTATCTTGGGAGTGACAAGTTGACAAATCAACAACGGGTAGGTTCAGTTTTGACCGATGTGGGTGGATTCTATCCAAATTTGGGTAGTTTTGAAATAGCGTGTAGAGATCGAGTATGCCTCTGCACCTCCACGGTTGCTACGGGAAGGACGTTTTTGTTAGTGGGAAGGGTAAATTTGATCTGTGTTAACTTTGGAAAGTAAATGATGCGACCCTATCAGCTCATTAATGTAAAGGGGTTCTAACCCAATGCGGTACAGAGAGAGGTGAAGTAGATCGTGCAATATTGTTGTATTAGTAAACCAAAAAAAAAAACAACGTAAACGCAATTAGTACCGTCACTAATTGCTTGTATCGTACAGTGGTTTTACTCACACAACTTAACCGATTGCTTCACCTCGGTCATTGGTTCTAACTCACGGTCTTCTCTGCTCAGTCAGCAAAAACGATCGCTCGGCAACCGTTCCCAATACATCACTTTGAAACTTAATTTAGTTCGTTCGGGACTGGCTAAAGCATCTGTTCGTAACGCTCGTAGTGGTATGTAAATATACGGGGGACTCGGTTTCCTAGTAGCGTTCGTTATTATCTAACTGAGCAGAATATCATGGGTTCAATCCCCTGCTTCTTCACATTGTGTTGTTTTTTCTGCTTCTACTTCTTAACACGACCACTTACTTATTTGAAGATCACATGGTCTGAAATCGTTTATATTTTAAAAAAATATATAGGTACTGTCGGGTTTGGGTTTGGGCTGACACCCACATATCAGCGTTATGAAGTTGATTTGTTTTTCGACCAGTTTACGGATAGTTTCAATCAAATTTACAAATGTATTGATGCTTAAAGTGCGAGCAACCCCTGCATGTGTTTGAGTCCGTCTTTGGAGGTTAGTTTCTATTATTTGCACATACCGAGCAAGCATCATATGCATATTTAATAGTATCTATGAGCAGATCGATCAAACCGATTTACTCGTTGAATCAGTGGATATGAACTTTATTATCCACAAAAAATGGTTTACGGGAGTAAGGAACAGAGCTCAAAAATACAGTTTCAACAACTGATAATACTAAATAATAGTCTACCTGTCATAAAATCTTGTGGGTACTGTTTCCGTGAATGGAGCAGAAGTAGGTAAAAACCGGTTGGAAAACAGTACATATATGTTGTTTTTGTTTTTACTTTCAACGCGTGCATAGGGTAGCGAGACCAGTTATTCAATCTGTGCTTTTATGTTCGGTAAGACCGAGATTCCATGTCATTTCGGTAAAATGATCACCAACTCTAACCGGTAACTTTGGAAACATCTCTTTGTCATACACGATTGCAAATTATCGCCTACTTTGGCAATTTTCAAGTATCAAATACTTAAAAACTTATACTGTATTCAAAATATGCAATTAGGCATTTTGAAAGCTTAAAAGACATATTTTGGGAAAACAAATTTACCGAACCTTCAGCAGTTGAAAGTTAGGTAAAATTTCATGAAAATCGGTGATGGTTGACGTTTGAATAACTGGCACCACTACCCTACTCAAACAAACTAGTAAACAAAAGATAAACTTAACTACCTGACCTGAAATCACTTTCACAGCTCTAGAGCACAAGGAATTTGGAATTCGTCCATTTGTGTGGTACCATTTAGTCTGCAGTTTGCTCTTGTGTGATACATTTTAATCCGATGAGTTATCAATTCAGTGACTTCACTTGGTTCCATCCATATAGCAGCATGAGAATGCTTCAGGTAATTTGAACGGACAACGAAGGTTGTTTCAAATTTCTACAACTAGTCCTTATGTGAATTGGTTATTTTTATGTTAGAAGACATGTAAAGTATTGTGTCGGCGAATATATTATTGTCAGTTATTCCTGCTCCACAGAAAACGAATCAAAGCAGCGGATAAATAACTTTATGCTCGTCATTAGAAACAAATCAACCATTCGTTCGCTACCTGCCACCTAATATTAGGCAACCGATTTCCAAATATTCCACTCCAAATGCAAACGTATACGAAAGCACAGAAGTAAGGTGACTACATATAGGCACAGACAAACAGACATAACTCATTGGTGGTACTACCAACTGCGATACTTTTAAATTGACCGTTAAATGCTTTTTCGATGTACAACTTGCGAGTGTTATGTCTGTTTGTCTATGATATAGGTGTTCTAAAGTGTCAAATTCATGATTCAGCAACCAAGTTTGTTTACTATAGATAATATATATAATGTAGCCAAACGAGCATGACGTCATCATGGTGTTGTTTGAGGGAGAAGCATTGTAATATAATAATGATAGATAAAGCAAACCATTTCTTGATTCATTGATGCAAATATTTGCTCCACACTGCCCCCCCCCCCTCCCCGCGATCTCCACACACAAAGCTGTATCACCATGTATATATCCACTATGGCTCTAACGAAATTTTAAAGAAATATCCTACACTGAAAAAAGTTTTCACTTAGTTTCTATTATGAACGCACATAGTATTTTTCCAATCACTATCTAAGTTCGAAAGATCTACCGCTATAGTCTACAGTGCTATTATTATCTTTCTTTTGAGGTCAATAGATCAATAATCGGTTAAAAAATTGATTTTTGGGAACAAGTTTTTTTTATACCACCACCCCTAGATGTCGCTGAAAGCTTCTTTTGACAGCAAAATGTTCGTTACCAAAAGTTATGAGAAGTGAGGAAATTTCAGGTATCGATCATATTTCGTTTGGGTGATTTTTACCTGAATATCCCATAGCATTAGAAATTCTATATGAGAAATCATATAGATTTCATTGGACACATAACGTTCATGTGATTTAGTGGTGCTATTTCCAATTATGGGATCACATGAAAGTTAGGTGAAATTCACATGGATATTTTCCACTGGTTATGTGATTTATTTTATGAGTGTATGCAATTGCAAGCGAATTCCTGTGTAGCGTAAAGTGGGGTAAAATGGGTCAACTAGTACATTTACTAATTTATTTGTTTGTCAAACCATTTCCTTGTCCTGACAAAGTGATGTTATGATGTTAACAAATAAATAAATCCAATAGATGACTCCACCTTACCCTATGCCTATGCAAATCTAGTGCTAATTTTTACAGAATTTGAAAGAGTTTTCCAAGGTAATACTGAGCAATGTTTCA